AGGGCTAAAAATGTCTTTATATTTTGATAAAACTTCCACATAAGGTTAAGGATTATTTCATCAGTTCATTTGCAGCATGCTTTTTGTTTTTTATGTCTTGTTTTAAATCTATATTTTTGGGGGGGTTTTTACCTCTTCCCTCATAGTTTCTGCTAAAGCTGATTAAATTACCTTTTGTGTGAGCAGTGTAATTCAGATGAACATTAATTAGTATACTTGTAGTCTACTGCTGCCACCTGCTGGCCGTTGAAGAGAATGAAGCTAGCGTTATAATGCTTGTTTCTCTGTTGGATGCTTTGTTTCACTGTGATTGTAGTTTAAAGGAAAAGTCTTGTCAGCAAGGAATAACCAATAGGTCATTATTTATACCTAAATCTAATACGGTTGTGGGGATTTACTGAATTTAGCATTAATCAGTAAAAAAAAGATAAAAACAATAATTTTCACTGAGTCTGGGAGCGGCCATTTTTGCCCAAATCTAGTAACACCTCACTCCTGCCATCTTCCAGCAGTGACGTCACGGTGCGGTAAGCCTAGCGCCATTCTCCCCGCTTTACAAGCAAAATCAATGGGAACTACTAGACACATCTGGAATCAACAACAATTATTGAAGATTTCCAGAGAACTTCACCATTGACAATCACCAGAGCTATAGTTAATCTCACAATATCCACGTGCATGGCAGTTGGATGTTGGAATACATAGGGTAAAAACGAAAAATAAATTAGTTATTTCATGATCCTCCACTGACGGGGTCATCATTGGATTGCCAACTTGAAGAGGGAGGATTTGCCATCAAACTTCTTACCAGAGAAAAAACTTGTAGCTAACATTTGGAAGAAGAATGTTTTCAAGATGACTTGGATAAATACCAAATACAGCACTGTGACTTGATTAACACCTGATACCGCACTGTGACGTCACAGTAGTCACGCAGTAGTGCTCTTTGACAAACATGGATGTCTCCAGTAAAGCACATTCAAATTAAACTTTGTCTTAATTAAAAAAATGTATCATTTATTGAACAAGATGTAATAATTTCATACTTAAAGTTCTTTCAGAAGTTTGAATTCTGAATATGACCCAACTTCTCCTTTAAGGTTTGCAAAGTTTTTGTGTTTTTTATCCTTAGATGTTGTGCTCTTCATGTTGTCATAAATCCTTAGCACTGTGTAAATTGCAAACATTCCTCAGAGAACAACGCATGTCTTAAGCTTCCCTTCGAAAAGCCCTCATAGATTACCTAGAATCTGCGTCATTTTCTTGCTCTGCCACTGGAAACCTAAGTGTGGATCATGTAAATGCATCCAGGCTGCAGTTGTACCACAATAATTCCTCCATCTTTATGCTGGAGTATGGCTGCAGATTAGAGTAACTCCTCCAACCTCTAGTCCTGCAGACACTGTATTCGCCTCATCTCAGCCACTAAATTCATCATTGTTGGAGCTTCTATTCCAGCACTACAGGGAGTTCTTCTGAGTTAGCTGTGTGTCTCCTCTGCATTCCTTCTGTGGTGCTCTTGAGACATAAAAGACAAGGTTATTGTCTCTCTACATGCACACACACTCACACATAGGAAAAGGCTTAAGTAGGCTACCCTGTTGTGCAGAAGCCTAGCATAATATCTCTGCTGGCCCAAGGAGACAGAGTGATGGAGAGCAGTACAGTTCCTGTTGAGAGATCTAATGATCCCATGTGGAATCAATAATAAGGTACAGCTACCTGTCTGTAGGTATACGTTGTCACGTCTGTGGATCAGAGAAAAGTTAAACAGCAGATTTATCATATTCCCCGTTAAACTAATGCGTGCATCACATTTTCTACTGTCACAGATAAAGACAAGGATTTAGTCTCTAAGGAAAAAGAAACAAGTGAAATGCAAGAGGCGCTTCATAGCTGGTAGCCAGATTGTATGTCAAACGCACTCAACACATTTTTTATACTGACTAGGTTCACTAACCGGTACCACTTTAAATCTGTCGTTCCATCGGAGCTGCTTTAATTTTCTTTCTCATTAATTTAACAATGTGCTTCAGATATTACCCATAGATTTTGGTCTGTATTAACCTGGAAGCATGGAGCTTTTCCTGCCGGTTTGTCAGCTGCATATTAATGACGCAAAAACTCCCATTCCACCACATGTTGGTTAAGCGGTTCTGTGGGACTGCAGTCTGGTGACGGTGATGGTTATTTCTGGTGCTCGTTTCTGTCAGTGTGACCCAGGACACACCACCAGTGTGTGTGAATGATTAAAATGTTGGGTAAATCGCTTTAGTGTGGGGAGTGGCGACCTAGTGGTTTGGGCACAGAGTTTGGAATCTTGAGGTTCCCAGTTTGAGCCCCACTCCCACAGACTGCCACTCTGGGTCTCTGAGCAAAGACCCTTAACCCCTGATTGCTCCCCTGGCGCCCCACGATGGCAGCCTACGGCTCCCCAAAGGGATGGGTTAAATGCAGAGGTAAATTCCTCCAATATTATATCAATAAAGTTCAATTTGGAGTCGTCTGACTGGGTCCCCTACTGAAATTTTTCTAGTTGAAGGAAAAAAACAAAAACAAAAAACTATTAATCCCATTTATTTGTGTAATTATTGTCATTGTAGTTGTAGTTGTAGTTTGAATATCGTCCTTTGCATAAAGTCGTATTATACATCCCTATCATCATAACATCCCCATACATCTTGCCTTTGTTTAATCTAAACTTTATATTCTTGAATTTTTTGATTGTATGTCCTTTTAAAATGCTACTTTGCAATAAAGTTAATTTTTTCTAATAAAGTAGATGCTAAATGTACAGAGAAATATACAGAGAAGCTGATGTAAAGAAAGACATGAGATAACTTTTTTTTCTCCAGCTGAAACAATGCATAGGTGGCAAGAATTTGCTAATTTAACAACTTATAGTTTAATTAATGAAACTTACTGAACATGTTCATCATTTTAAAATGTGATGATTTGCTGTATTTCCTTTATTGCGTGCTCTCTCTGTGTGATGCTCCTGCAGCACTGGGTGGCTGCAGGTGACTTAATCTTTATGCTCTTAAGGCTCTCACATTCTTCCTCTTGCTGCTGTGCTCTAAATCCTTCACTATCTGTGTTTCTCCCTCTCTGGTCCAGATGAGCTTTTTACTATGCTGGCCAGCAATGCTTGTCTGTTTAAGTGGGTCAGAACTGAATTGGAAAAGTGGTAAAAAAGGCACGCTTGATCTCAACATTGCAATCATGATGACTTATTGGGTCAGTGATTAGGCCAGATAAGAATTGAACCATCAGGTGCATGGGCTGATCCCAGTGAATAAAGCTTCTTGGCTGTAGATGTGCCCATTCCCCCCCACCCCACCCCCACACACAAAGCTTTTGTCTTCGTTCAGTCTCTCCAGCGGGACCCAGCTAACCTGTCGCCTGACTCAGGTATAATGATCGGTTGCTGTAAGGTTATGGAGCTTTAATTGAGTTATAACACAGTTACTCCTGAGGTCTTGAGTGCTCTCTTGTGTCTTCAGGTTTTTCAGACACTAGGCAAAATGGAGGCAAAGGGCGAATGCATCATGTTCCTCAACTATGTACCGTTTTGGTGAAGAGCAAACACTTACCAGAGGAAAAAAAAACAGTCATTATCACATCCCCCACTTTTTTTTTTTTTTTATTTATAGTGTTTTTAGAAAACAGCTGCAGGCTCACTGATGGTGCCAATGGGTTTGCAGATTCTTCTCTTAAATAGTTCAGCTGTCTGGCTGTTTGGAAATGGAGCTAGTAGGTTTTTTTTTTTTTTTCCCTGACAGAACTGAGAAGCAACACTGCAGTGCAAACCCAGGAGTTGCACTCACGCAATTACACTGCAAAAACAATCTAGAAATAAGTAAAAATGACATAAATGAGTATTAATAGAGTATAGTGTATTTACCTTTAATTTGAGTAGGAAAATAAAATGATCTGCAAATGGAATGAGGATTTTCTAACCTTAAAGATAAGATAATTACACAATATGTACTTGAAATAAGACAATGCAATTATTTTTTTTCGTATTTTAAATGTAAATTGTCTTGTTTCATTGACAAAGAGTCTAACTTACCTCTTCAGTTCAAGCAAAAATGCACTTATTTTAAGAAAATATGACTTATTTAAGTTTACATTTTTTCAGTGTAGCTTCTATTCTCAAAATTCTATTGAATCCAATGTACTGATGAAATTACATGCTTAATTCAACGATTTACTAATGGAAGATATGGTGCCTTTCATCATGATTTAGGGAGAAACGTTATTGTTATAGTTGTAAACTATAGCATCATTGGGATTGTTACTTGTTCTATTTTGTTTTTTTTTCTTCCATAAATTGCCCCTAATGATCACCCTTTCAGAGGCATAACCAAGTATTGGCGTATTGCAGTTTAACAAAGAACTCATAACGACTTCCCGTTACTAAGGGGCGGACCCGTTCTTCTGTTGCAATTTGCATGTTTTCTAAGCCTAATCAAGTTTTTCAGCTACTATATAAAGTTTCCAATTCACGCTAATTTGCTAATTCTGAAATTTTGAATTGAAAAAGCTACTAGATGGGAAGCGAAACATCTTCAACCTTGGTAACAAAGTCCAGTGGATTGTTTTTCTAACGTTTTTGGAATTCTATAAAATCATAACGAATATCAGTAAAATTGAGAATATAAAGAAAAATTTACTTTTCTGGTCCAGTTAGACAGTGTAGTTGCATTACTTAACCTAACTATTGTTGGAGCCTGTTTTCTACTCTAAAAGTTGGCCTTCTTTAGAGCTCTTATTGCTAAAGGTGACACAGTTATGTAGTTTTAGCTTCTCAAATGTCTTTGCTTTCTTTGCAGATTTTTCACTCAGTAGATTAGCTTCCCTCCCAAATATTTTGTCTGCTACACTACAAATAGTTCATCAATAAGGGACATTTTGTTTTATTTTTCACTCCACTTTTTTCATGCCAGGACTGATGAAACCCATCATGGAACTAATCAAATTCTGCTTCTTTTCATCAGAAAATTCTTCAACATCTGCCTGAGAAAATCTACAACAGATGGCAGTTTCACAGCATAGGTATGTACTTGATGATCTAAATGTAAATCCCCACCTAATAACTCAGTTTTACAGTTTATGTTGTCTTTATTCTTTTAATCTTTACTTACTTCTGAGGTAGAAAGAAATCAAAGCATACAAGGAAGGAGAAATAATCACTTCTTGAAGTGATTGCAAGTGGAAAATGCGAATGAGCATTTGATTTAAGATCCTTATGAATTGAGGTATACTGCTGTTGCCTAAAGAAACTTAAGCGAGAAGCAATAACGCTCCATTTCAGCTGCTGCTTATCAAGCCTGGCAGCTGAAATAGTTTAGGTCCAGATCAGTGTTGCAGACTGGCCTTTCCTGGAGGCGTATAATTTCGAATCAGGGCTCATCTCTAGGTGGATGCCCCTGATAAATTCTCCATTTTGTCCGTCGCTGAACAAGAAATTGTGATGGGTTTAAAGACGGCCCTTATTCCAGCTTGCACTCACAAAGAATTTTCTCCTTCACTCATCAGTTCATGTGTCACTGGTCAAGATGGGCTGCTGTTATTTACACACTTGAGGCAAGATAACTGTCAATTTTTTTTCTTATCACATTTTACATCCAATTCCATTACTGGTAGAGAATCTCTGTCTTGTGGTAAATTCCCCCGGGTGGATGGAATGACATTAATGACATGGTTGTTTAGTGCTTTTCAAACTGAGAATTGCAAGGTCACAGGCATTTCACACAGCTATTAAGATGCTTCTGTCCTCAAACCATGAATATGAAAAGAGGAATTTATGCCATTGTGAATTCAGCATTCTGAGGGGAGCGCCAGAGGAAAAAGTACAAATACACCAACATCTTTTCTCTCTATGTGTGTGTTTCTTTTATAACGGTATTGCAAACAGGCTAAGAATGAGAGGAATCAGTTTGATCTTTAAAACACCTGTTGCAACTTGTTGAAGGTGTTTCTTAAGCATTTTGCATTTCATCGGCAGTTTATGGCGATACCAAGTTCCAAGTATATAGAACCTGTATATGGCTGTGAATTAGACATAGATTGCTCTTAAGTCATGGTACAATGAAAGAAGTCTCATTGGATGGGTTTGAAAATGTCAGGTCTGTTCTCAGACTAATCACCAAACCATTGGTACACGAGAGCTCCAAAGATGTAATTTTGGACAAGCATTTGTAGCCATTTGCCTTAATGCAAATAAAGGTCAAAGTACATCATTTATTTGCATTTAGGTGTTAGATATTGCTCATAAATCTATGGGGGGGGGGACATTTCTTTGTGGCCTCATGGTGAACTAGGGACCCAAAGCGCTAGACATAGATGGAGCACAAACTGATTACGATGACTAAATAAACCCCATGCATATTATTGTGAAAAATACTCAAAGCACAGATATTCAGATTCTTATTATTTTAATATTTTATTTTTTGCTTCCTGTGGCTTTCAGATTAGTCATATACTTTAGAAAATATGAGACATGTTTTCTAATCCCAGGCCTAAAAACCTTGATGTTGACAATTTGTGACCAGTTTTGAGGGGGACCGTTTGGGACGTGGACCAATTATGACATGGAGCAGTTTGGAGGGGAACCATTTGGGACCTGGACCAATTGGGACATCAACCAGTCGTGACTGGGGCCAGTTGGGACAGGGACTGGTTGGGACGTGGACCAATTATGACTGGTAGCAGTTGAGGGGGGAACCATTTGGGACCTGGACCAGTTGGGACGTGGGCCCGTTGTGACTGGGACCAGTTGTGACGCCAGTGGTTAGGGGGACCCCGTTGTGACGGGGACCAATTGTGATGTGGACCATCCTGTTGTCCTCATGGTAACAAGACTGTCTGTTGAGAGTCTCCCCTCCTTCACACAAACCCCCTCTGGGTTGTAATCAGAGCACCGTCTCATTTGATTACAACAGAAACAAATTGACTTCATGGATGCATCTTACCAGCAATCTGAATGCATCAGCTAGTCTGAATTAGCATCTTGAAAACGGGATGCTCATTTGTTTGTCAAGAAGCCCCTTCAAAAAACTAATTGATCTTAGTGAAACTGACAGCTTGTTTGGCCGTTGTGTCTTTGAATAATTGGTTTTTAGGAATATCTGTATATATAATTTTTTTTCTCTCATCCAGGTTCTATTCTGAAAAAACTTCTGCATACTGGAAATTCATTTAAAGTGAGTCCTCTGTTTGTCTCTAATTCTAATGTAAATGTCCAGAATCATTCTTCCATGCTGGATCAGGTTTTTAAGAGGTTCTCAGCTGAATTGTTATAAACTCTGTGTATATGATATAAAATATCTTCTGTCCAGATCCGCTGTGAGGGCATCCGTCTCTTCCTGCTGTGGCTCCAGGCCCTAAGGGACAACTGTGCTGAGGAGCAGTTCCTTATCTTTGCCTGTCTGGTCCCAGGATTCCCTGCTGTTCCCTCCTCCAGAGGACCCTGCACGCTTGACACCATCATCAACAACCCATCCTCTAACCCCCTAGATGGTCAGTTATAACAGCACAGATTTATTTATCCTTTTCATATAATTATTTGGGGGATTTATAGTATATTTTTTTAATCTTAACCTATACAGCCAAGGTAGTGCCTGAGGAGATAACGCCGTTGCTTCCCGCTGTGTCTGGAGAGAAAGTTGTAGAAGACCTGACCTGTTACTTTCTTGAAACACTACTCAAGTACATGGTCATTCAGGTAAAAATCAACTTTTGATGTAAAATAATTCACTCTTGGAGAAAAATGTGTTTTATTACAATCTGGGGATGAAGGTTTTAGAAGATTTTTTAGGGCTTAGATTTATTGAGGTCCTACTTAGTTCATGCTAATGCACCGAAATGCTTCTGTAGCATATTTCTGAAATGTTTAGTTTAAAACAATGTTCTTCTTCAAAATGTGTTATATTCTGGAGTTAAAATGCGGTGCATTGTGATATATAGCATTACTGCTGCAAAGACATTAAGCTCCGGAAAAATATTTATAATCCAGTAAGGTTTCTGTGTTGTTGAAAAACAAAAAAAGTTTGATCTGATTTGTTTATTCAAAGTTGTATGATCTAAAATGATTGGTGTTTGTTTAAATCCTTTTCCCAAATATCACTGCATGAATCACTTGTACTGTAAAACTTTATGACTACAAATCTGTGATTTAAAAGCAGATCTTTATCCATCATTGGGGGGAATTATTCTAGATTTAATCAATAAAATATTTCCCACTAACAAATTTTCTGCTTTCGTCGGCTTGATAGGCATCTCTCTGAGTGATTTGTTATAATGAAACATTCTTAAACAGTATTTCTTCTCATTGTGTTGTGAAAAACTGCTGCTTAGAATGTTGGTAATTTTCACTGCAGTAAAGCTTTAGTCTGTTTTGTTTCTTATCATAGAGGAGCCATGTCATACAGACAATAAACACGGTTTGAGCGACATTCTGACCTTGTCTGCTTTGTCTGCCGTTTGTCTGCTTCAGGCATCCAGCTTAGAATGGAAGAACAAAGAGAACGAAGACACAGGCTTCAGGTTTCTCTTCAGCCTTTTCAAGAAGTACTACCTTCCACATCTGTTCCCCTCCTTCACCAAACTCACCAATCTTTATAAGCCTTTGTTAGGTAGGTTTATTCACTCAATGTAGTCTGTGGCTATGTTCACACTGCAGGCCTTAATGCTCAATTCCCATTCTTTTGTTAAATCTCTTTTTTTTTTTTGCCTTGCCGTTCACATTTACAAATATATGCAACTTGTATGTGATCTCCTGTGTGAACTGCATTCATACAACGCAGGTGTCCCGCATGCGCAGGAGAGGACAAAATGACGTCACAAGCAAGCATGCTCTGTGTTTATGGAAGTAAACATGGATGGTAGAGCTGGAATGCATTTAGCGATCTTTCCCAACCTTAAAAACTCATTCTTTTCAAGATGGTTAAACATAAATACAACTCTCTGCATCATCATCCACCATGGTTGTTGTTTTTCGTACTGCTTCTGTGTAGCAAGAAGCAGAATAGTGACCTATGTTGGTTACTAATGGCGTTCAGGTCGGATGAATGCGAACTGGCTGTTCAGACTTGGGTCGCATTTGAAAAGATCAGATTCGTATCGGATCCAGGACCACTTAGCCAAGTGGTCTGGGTCGCATTGGAAAAAAATTGGATCTGTGTTGTTCAGACTGTCATGAAATGTTCAGATACAGGGCAAAAAAAATCGGATTTGGGTCACTTCAGGCTGCTGTGTAAACGTAGCTTGTGTGTCTCTTTGTTGTCAAAGCCAAATGCTATATTCACACCGTAAGCAGCAGAAGACCGCAGAAACCCGTGTGATGCTTCATTTTCGATGCTTGTACAAGTTTAGTTCTGACACGTGGCTGAAGCATCTTTGCTGCTCCGGCTGCACGGTCGAAAAGTGGTTCTGATGCATGTTGGGCGGAGCTACCCTATCCTTTATTTGCCTGTAATTACTGAATGCTGTGTGCAAAACTTGCGTAAAAAACGTGACGTAAGTCGTGCTGCCCAGCGCTAGGCTCTGGTCCTGCCTGGAATCGTTAAGAGGCTCTAGCCATGATGCCCGGCCCCATATCGTCTTGGGCTTGGCTGACTCTGGTCATGGTAACCTTGGAAACCCTCATTACTGAAAATGTCAATGTTAATGTAGTACATCTTACACAAACTTTCATTTTTTCCAAGTTCTCCTCCCCATCCATCTCTTGCCCCAATCTTTTTAACATGCTACATGTTCTCTTTAAAATCGGGAGAAGCTGTTTGTATCCGTCTTTATTTAATAAAATAATAAAGCCCCCAGTCTGATATTCCACTGTATCCCCTATGGCCAAAATTCGACTGCATGATCGCTAACTGGTTTGTCTTAGATCAGACCATTCAGTGGGGAATCCTTTGGATTTAGTTTTAAAATCATTTCAATGAATGACGTAAGAAGAATTCGAAACCCATTGCCACTCTGGGTCTCTGAGCAAGACCCTTATTCCCCAATTGCTCCCCGGGCGCCCCACGATGGCAGCCCACTGCTCCCCAAGGGGGTGGGTTAAATGCAGAGGTACATTTCTCAAATGTGAGATTAATAAAGTTCACTTTCATTCTTAAGATTTCTGGTTTGAGCCAACATATGGTTGTTGATTCTGTCCTGGTTGTTGATCCAAAAAAATGAAGGTCAGTTGCTATTTTTTTGTGCATCAGTTTCAATTCAATTCAGTTTATTTTTATAGCGCCAATTCACAACACGTCATCTCAAGGTACTTTACAGTTCACCAGATCATACAGTCAAATTATTTCAAAGTTTTCTAAGGAAAACCAGTTGATTGCATCGATTCATTGACTCGGATGCAATCCCTCACCCTAAGCATGTTTGTAGCGACAGTGGAGAGGAAAACTCCCCTTTAACAGGAAGAAACATCCAGCAGAACCAGTTACTGTGGTATCCATAATTGCAGCCCTTAATATGGAGCGTTTGCTGAAAATCTGCATTTTCTGCAACTTTTTAAACGTTTACATTAACCACCTCATTCTGTCTTGTTAAGAACTTCCTCCGCTCAGATCCAAACCCCTATATGTACCGGTGACGCGGAACAATGAGAGCACCTTCTGCACGAGGGATCAGTACTTGGCACCCAGAGTTGCCTTCATCACCTGGCTTGTCACCTTCTTCCTGGAGAAGAAGTATGTCAACAGTACTGCTGCAGCGCAGAGCGCCAGGAATGGAACTGAGGTCATTCCTAAACTCATCCAGGTAAACATTATAGAACTCTCTGTTCATTCCTCACTCTGTCATCAAGAATAGAAGATTGCTGCAGCAAAGTCTAAACCTATGCACTAGAACCAGGCAGAATATACGAAAAACAATTAATGGTATTATGTATTGTAGAGGCACCTCTACCATACGTTATACAATAATACATAATCAAAGAAACCTCTCTATTTAATGTATGTTGGAGTTGTAATTCCTCTCCTAATTGTTTATTTATTTTTTTTCTGTCAGACTGTTACTGCAGGCAGTAGCAGCCAGGAGAAGGAGAAAGATAAGACCTCTGATGGGGATTCTAACGGACCACAAGGGGATACGGAAAAGAGCCACTCCAACAGCAGCACGCTGTCTGACCGACGGCCCAGTGATTCCAGCTTGTGTAGCATCGAGGAGGAGCACAAGCATGTCTACGACATGGTGCACTCCATTCTGCTGTCCACAAGGGACAATGTGAACTTTGTCAACGAAGTCTTCCATCAGGTAAAACGCACATCTACAATCATAAGAGCTCTTCCCATTTAAGGGACTCTTGTCTCCCTCTTCTCATTTAATGTACTCTGTCTCCCTCTGCTGGTCATATTCTGACTCGCTGCTTGCATTCTTCTGACCCCACAGGCTTTCTTATTGCCATCCTGTGAAGCCTCGGCAACCAGGAAGGTGATTAAAGTGTACAGAAAGTGGATCCTGCAGGAGAGGCCCATCTTTATGAACGAGCCTGACCCAACTACACAGGAGGATGAAGTGGATGAAAACACTGAGCGCATTCTAAGAGCGGATGCAAACTGCATGCATGTAAAAGCGAGTTTCACATAAAGTTACAATGCTGACAGTGATTCTACACTCATAAGACTAGTCTTTGTGTGCATTGTAAAGCAAAGTAAAACAGACATAGTGAAATGTTGCTTTCTGCCTTCAATGCAAAGATTAGTGAACTTTTTCTCCTCTGCAAGGCGTTTGAGAGTCATGGTCACAAACGATCGTCAAGCTGGGGGAGGACCTATTCGTTCAGCAGTGCCATCAATCGGGGTTTTCTCACCGAGGAAGAGAACAGAGACGTCAAAGCTGGCATGCAGCCCACACTACAGGTCAGTCTTTGGGTTTAGACGAAGAAGAACAATACTGGAACCCTGTAGTTAATATTATTAGCTTGGTAATCTCCTGTGCTCTATTCCCTTCTGGTGATTGTACAATTTTATTTTATAAGATTATGTTTGTAGAGGTAGAGAAACATGAGAGGTTTGGTTCTGATTTTAGGGCGCTATTTCATTTGGATCATTATTCTACTTAATGAACCAGTGAGGACTTCATTTTTCATTTAAAGGAAGAGACTTCCTTATTTTTATTTAAGACTGGTATTATACAGAATGTATGTCATGCAAGTTTACAAGTTTCCTAATTTTCTCTCTTAAAAGAGAGAAACGCCTACAGCATAAAGGATTCCCTACTATGCTTGGAAATGATTCTAGATTATTGACCATTTGGTATAAGCACATTTTTAAAGTTTTTATGTTTGATAGCTATAGTTATTCATTTCAATTTTTTTTTATTTTATACATTCAATCTGTCAATAACTGCAGATTGAAACTAATTTGTGTGGCTATATCTGTCAAATTTATATCCTAAAGCGTAGGTCTTCAACAGGGAGTCTTCAGAGGTACTGCATTGTCTCGAAAGTTTTGGTTCATTATCCTTTTTTTTATATTCCCCCACTGCAATTTTTTCCATCCATCCATTATCTTACACGCTTGTCCCAATTGGGGTGCAATTTTTTCCACTAATTGAAAAATCTTTAAATACACATTAATATGAATTCAACACACTGTATTAAACAGATAAATGGAAGCAGAAGATGTCTTTCAGTCATCAATGCACACATTCTGCGACACACGGGAGCTCTTTCAAGCTGGGCACCGTTTCATTCACAACACCTGTCCCATCAATGAGGAATCAGAATCAGAAATACATTAATAATCACAGGGCGAAATTACTTTTGTTACATGACTCCATCTGTAATAGAGTGACTATAGGACCAGTTTGATAAAACACAATTTCATACGATAAATGTAATTAGGGGGTCCCCACTCCATCCCGCCATCAGTTTGGGGGTCCTTGGCCTCTAAAACCTTGAAGACCCCTGCTTTAAAGGGTTTATGTTGCATTACTTTGCATTATCTCCATTGTATAAATAAAATAAAATAAGTAAACAACCCATTGGTAAATAGATGGTGTCTAATGGAGGCTATGTAGATCAGATGCCATGATTTGCTGCTTTTGTCAAAATGAGTGTTTTTGAAGATTTTTTCATGCCTGTCTCACTATCTGTGTGTGATAAAGGAATAGGAGACAATATTTTTAATCCAGAGACTCAGAAAGGCGTGGATTACTAACGGAACCCGGATTAACCTTTAAGTGTAACTTTATTTAAATTTTTATTTTTAGTTAAGACTAGTCAAACATTTGTTTTGTAATCTAAGTTTTCCTCTAACTTCATAGACTTATTAAAAGCTGGCTTTTTCCAGATTGTTTGTATCTTTTATTTATACTGTAATAAGTATATATTTTTACCTTTTTATCAGGAGTATGAAAAAAATAGTTTTTCAGTGACTTTCACCACTTTGTGTGATTGTGTAGGTATTCCTGACCAACTCATCCAATGTGTTCCTGTTGGAGCCATGTCAGGATGTGCCAAAACTCCTGGAAAACCAGGTTGAGGTTTGCAAGAATGTTCTCAGCATCTACCGGCACATGATCATGGAGCACAGCATGACTACGCAGACGTGGTCAGTGATGTTCGAGTACACGTGGGATTTCTTTGCAGCCCTCTTTGGTTGATGCCTTCTTCTTTTACATTTGCTCTTTCCTCAGGGAGCAGATGCTGCAGGTGCTACTGAAGATCACAGAAGCAATAATGAAGAGGCCACAAGAAAACCAAAGAAAAGACAGCTTTGCTGAAAGTTTAGCATCTTTACTTTTTAGGGTAAAGGCCAATCTATACACTTTTATTTCTACGGTGTCCTACTTTAATGGTTCTGACTAAATATAATGCTGTTCATCTAAAAGGATTTTTTTTCTCTCTACATGAACTCAGACTATTATTGTGGCTTGGGTCCGAGCAAACCTCAACGTATTTATCTCTCGGGAGCTGTGGGATGAGCTGCTGGCAGTGCTGTCCTCTCTTACCTGCTGGGAGGAGCTGGTGACAGAGTGGGCCGGCATCATGGACTCGCTGACGGCTGTGTTGGCACGCTCCGTTTATGGCCTGGACATGGCCAACTTGCCTTTAGACAAGCTCAGTGAACAGAAGGAGAAAAAACAGCGAGGACGTGGTGAGGAGATTTAAAGGGAAAACAGAGATGGGGAGGGGCAGCATTCTTGATAAGTGTACAAAGTCTGTAAAATGCTTCAATACCACTTTTTATTTCTCTTTATTCCATCCCATTACCATTAAAAAAAGAGCCACATATCAAAACAGTATATCTATTTACCCATTCTATTTAGTTGGGTTGTTTTTGTGGTTTAAGAAGTACAGTTTTAAGATAAAAACTAACCTATTGGCAAATATATAACGAAGAACTTTTCTTCAAACCCTAAAGAAAAAAACACTCGCCTTGAAAGCAAAGCCTCCACTCCCCGTCTGGGTGCTGCCCATTTTATGAAGTTGCTCTATTAGAGTACTTCTAATAGGGCAAATAGCCCCACCCGCCAGCGGCCAAAATCATTTTTGCCTGCTAGTGGTTTAGCCTTGATCAATGCCCAGGCCCTAGAGCTGACGGGCCAATCACAACATAGAGATGCCTTTTGAATTTCTGGATGCAAAGCGGGCGGGATTTTGAGGGTGTGACGACAAAACTGCATGACACTGGAGAAAGCACAAGAAAGATGGCAACAACTGTTGAACAGTTCTCATTTGACTCAGCTTTGGAATCAGTTTTGGAAGAATTAGACTTGGGATTTTCATTGAAACATGATCAGGAAGAGGCTCTACTCTCATTATTTTTAAGAAGGACGTATTCACCGTTTTATCAACAGGCTGTTTGTTTACACTCCCCCACCAGCTTTCTGTCGCGCTTACTACGTCACAGTCAGTTGCGCTCATTGGTCAGGGCGTTGGCCAGTAGGCGCAGTCATGGTTTGAAAGACAACGGGTTGTTCTCATCAACAACGTTCCGATGTCTCATTCATCGGAGCCTGACTAAATTATACATTTAATCTCACATTTAGTCTGGTTTATCAGGCTAAAGTCTGACACCTCTAAAGACCAAAAAGCACATTTTTGTGACACATAAACTAAAAAATAATAGGTGCTTTCCCTGTGTGGATTAGCTGCTGAAAGAGCCACTTCATCTGAACCTTTAGCCAGATTCCTGACATTCTCCTCACATCACCCTTCCGTGGTTGGAGAAAATATGGGTTTGTTTACAGTGCAAGCACATCCTGGTTAGGCTAGGTGTTTCCTGGAGGTGGTCTTTTTAGTAGATATTTTCCATTCCCTGTTTTCAACAGAACAGGACGGAGCTGCAGCTGACAGTAGAGCTAATGAGGATTACTCAGAGGTCTGAATCAAACAAAACTCCACTTTATCCTATTTTTTCCTCCCTTTGATGAATGAATCAAAAGTTAAAAGTTAAAAGTCACAAAAAAGTGGATTTTGCATTGTATAGGCCCTTTTAAAAGAAGAATTTTTTTTTTTATGTTGTGTGCAGTACTGATGGAAAAACATGCAGAAAATGGTAACAAAAAATATTACCTTTTTTTTCATGCAGGACAATAAAAAAGTATGACTAGAACTACCCCTTTTAAAGAACGCTCTTTATTTTTGAGAACAGGAATTAAATCTTTAAACTTTAAAGGTCCTTGTCAGAACTGACTGTAAGAGCATCAAGAGGTCTGATAGAGCTGGTTAAAATATGCCCCCAAAATACACAGATACAAGATACCAGTAAATGTTCAGTTTTCCTTCCACTTCACACATGAATTACTTTTTTATTGTTCTATTACAATGAAAACAATGAAATTTATGATTTTAATGTCACTGAATGTAAAGGAAAAGTTTAAAGGGTTGAAAAACTCATCAAGCATTTGCTTTTTCTTAAGGTTTATTTTTGTTTTATCATCCTAATTTAGTTTTTCCTTTGCTACTTTTTAAATGTGAAACAGATTTTACTAATAACACATCCTGCATCATTTCTTTGATTTGTAAAGTATTAATAGACCTAGACTTAGACAGATTTGTTTGTCATTTTCTTTACACAAGTGTAAAAAAAAAAAGAAAGTGCAGCCTTGAAAAATAGTAATAAAATATATAAAAACAGTAATATAAACAACAAGTAATAAACTGCTATCTCTTTTTATATTTCCAGGGTAATCTAAATCTATGCCAGTTAATATTGCCTTTTTGCATTTTAACTCTTTAAAACTCTTCCTTTGCATGCCAGGAGTAATCCAGGAATCCCAGAAGGCAGCTGCAGTTGCACGCTCATTCTCACTGAGCTGGAGAAACCATGGAGAGCAGGGTGGGCCTGGAGCCCAGGAGCCCATGAGGATTCGCTCTGCCACTACCTCAGGAGCGCCCGGTGTGGAGAAAGCCCGAAACAGTGTCCGCCAGAAGGCCTCCGGTCAGTATCATCCTACATTTGGTAGCAGCCTCAAAACATTGTGGCTGTAAATAAACAGCTGGATTAAATCCAAATTATGTTGTTTTTTCAATTATCCTTTTTGCACCATGCATCTTAGATTAATTTAGAAAAGAAAAAAGTGAGAGTAAACTACCTTCAAATCCTCCAACTTCACCAAAAATCAACAAATATAGAACTCCAAGAGCTCAGTTAACTGTCACCTTGGGTTGTTACTGTAGAACAATACTGTCTGTAATGAAAAAAAAACAAAAAAAACATCAAACTTTGCATCATGATTTTTTTTCCAAACACTTTGAAATTAGCCTCCTCCTTCTTTAAGAGCCCTCTGCTGTTCCCATCACTCCCGTCTTGGCATATGGTCACGACAATTCTACACGTTCAATAAATATCGGTTGTGGAAAATGGCAACTCAGGATACAATTGAACCTTAAGGGAATGATCCCACGTCAGACCCGGAAAGTACGTTTTCTGAAGAACCCGAGCGAGTACAGAGGCTATATAGACATTTCACCTTGGTAATATATCTCCCACTCATCCTCTAATACACATCTGTCAAAGTTAAACTACTCTGTGCTACGAGATTGAGTATAAAACAGCTGATATTTACCTGAGCAGATGGTGATGTTGACTTCTTTTGATTGTTTGAATTGTGCCGTCTTTGAGTGATAATTAAAATAACAAGTAGTTTTCTGTCAAACTCCATTTTGGCCACAACGCCATAAAGCAGCTTGCAGAAGTATAACAGATTTCTTTTAAGGGAAGGGTCATTTCCAAACATAAAAGCATTTTTTAAGAACTGTATCATCCTTTAGGATGCTTAAAGATAGAATAATCTCCTTGGGATCCAAAAGTACATTTCATCAACATTATTTATAAAGCAGAAAAGTGTTGGATTAAGAAGTGGTTATTATTAAAAACTCAGTAGAAGCATGTTTCATCAGGTGGAGTTAGCTGTTTTTCTTCTTCTGACTGGCTGCCACAGAACTTTAAATATGCTGGTGAAGATTCTCAGTCATCCAGGTCATAGTCATGAATAAAAAAATAAAAAAAAGAAAAGTAAAAACAATCCACTGGACTTTGTTTCCAAGTTTGAAGACGTTTCGCTTCCCATCCAGGAAGCATTTTTCAATTGCTGGTGTTGAGTCCGAGGTTCAAACCAGTGGATTGTTTTTAATTGTCTTTTTTTTTTTGAAGAAATTTGAATAATTTATCAAGCATCACTTACATTAATACTTTGGGTGTGAGTTTGATGAGAGGGATAATATTATTTACTTGATACTGGCCCTTTAAGAGTGCACCCATCTTATCTTTCTGATATGGTTAGTCATAAATCTGACCAGACTTTCATTAGAAACACATTAATGCCTCCTAAAAGCATGTCCTTTTTTGCAGCTTGTGGTGAACGTTTATATTTGAAACAATATAAACTATTTAGATTAAAATATAAATAATAAATTGTGGACTACATGCCTGTTTTTAACATTGCTTGGTATGTTTTAATCCACAAAACAAACAAAAAAACAGCAGATATTTCAAAAACACCAATTTAAAACCATTTATATTCAAGAGAAGTGTGTATGAAGTTCTGCTTGGTTTTCCGTTTGCCTTTTTTGTTTTCCTTCTCATCAGACCACCAAAAACAACTCATAGAGTAGTTCGGACATCATTATTTCACCTTTGAAAAGGGGCCAGGTGCCACTGAAACGCCTAATCTATAGACAAAGAGGCCAGCAGATGGTCTTCATTGTTTCTTTGACATGTCGCTGGCCAGTGTCAGCATATTCCATGTCAGCTTGACTGCAGGCTGACAGTATATTCCCCAGACAGAGTTTGCAAAAAATAAAGGTCGATGCTTTTATTTGATAGACATGTGGAGGCTGGAATACAATTTTAACTAGAAAGTTAATAAAATCAGTCAGCAGCTGCATATCTTACCTGTATATGTATGTGTAGAATCATAATCTAGATAATAAAAGGGAACATCTTTCTCTTTTTCTGACGTCCATCCACTTCATTCACCAACTGCGCTCTGAAATGACAGGCCTGTTGTGTAAAGGGAAAATGTTTTTATGCAAGAAGCATAAAGTGTCTTGAGTGTTTTTACATGCATGTGTTAAACCACCCATTATATCCCTTACGTAGAAGTTTACACATCTATTCTTTCAGCCTGTTTATTTGTATCTCAATGCCAGCAAAGATGGACGTTAAATGTAACCGCTTCAGATTCTCCTCCTTTCTTCAGCCTAATTGGATTTCTCTCACATTGATCTTCAAAGGAGCAACAACCCTCCTCCCTACTCCTCAAGAGAAAGCCCCACACATCAATTGCACGGCACTTTTTGATTGTTTCATTAAGGGTGTAATTAATGCTCATTAATATGCACAGGCGGGAAGCAGTGGCGGGCTGTAAGCAGATAGGATGTATCGCTCTTAACTGAAAGACATAATTAAAGTGTGCTGAAAGCAGAGGAGAGAAGCTCAATATGAGAACAACCCTGAAGTGTTATCCACACACACAAAGGAAATGCATCAGCATTGAAAACTGTCAAAACTTGGTTGCTCTTCTGCATGCAAATATACAACGTCACTTTTGTGAGATCTTGTCTTTAAAAACGAAGGAAAAAGACTCTATATTTAATTATTGGGCTCATTAGGGGTCTGCAGCCACACTGATCCAGGTGAACAAACTCTCCCTGAGTCTTTGAAAGCTCAGTTACTAATTGGTTCTAATAACGGTTTTATATCTAGAACAAAATGTACAATAGTGCTAATTATTTACATGGAAACCTTTTAAATATGTGGTAATTTAAGCTACTATATGTATTTTAGAAAAGTTGATTAAATGCATATTCATTACAGTATTATATTATTGAATTGTACATTTATTTCTGTAATTTAATTAATAAGGTGAAATTCTAGAATGGGTTTAAACCACGCAGTGTTATATCCTGTGTTTATTACTATTAGGTTTAATCATTTTTATTATTTTCTCTCTCAATAAATCAAAATGGGAGTTTATAGTTGGGACCATGTTTGCATGAATGACAGTAAATCCTGTGGTGTCAGATGTAGGCCATCAGAGAGAATATATAGGCAGAAGAAAGTCAGACAAGCCAAGAACTGCCTGCAGTGACATTTCTCTGTGGTTTAATACGGTAATAAATTACTTCCTGTGATAACTGAATGACTATAATGTTTAGGTTTTTTCCATCATCCAAGGTGATTCTGAGAAGTACTCCTTACAGGACTTTTAGTTTGAGTTTTAATCATTTTGAGTGGTATCTAAATGCGCCATTGCGGCCTCGTCTGTTGGTGACCTTAAAGGCTTTAAACAACTAAGATTCTTACATTTAAAGGAAATCAGAAAACTTAGTTGTTGTTGTTTTTGTTTGGTTTTTGTGGAGAAAATTTTATTAATCTTGGTTTAGGCCTTTAGGAGAGTTGAAAGTTTTACAAGTTGAATTTATTCTTAATAGAATATATGTGAAAGCTTTGTTCTTTTTCAGGTGATTCCTATAGTTATGCACTTTATAGATATAACTTTATGGAGATATATGTATTATAGCTTTATGGACTTTTGCCAAGTCTGTAAACATGTTCTATTGAGTTGCTGTGTGACCCCTGAGCAAAGGAACCGCCCAAAGGAAACAAACCTGATGTTAAATATAGAATTGGAGAATATGTATATTTTCTATTTTTTTGAATTTTGCAGTTTTTTTAATCATGCAGTTTGTTTTTACAATCCCAGTAGCTTAATTTATTTGATTTACTAGTTTATACTTTGGTTTTATGTCATTTTGGTTTTGTTTTCCTTTTTAAAACCTTTGGCTAGTCAAGTTTACCTGTTCATTTTATGATATTTATTTATTTATTTTTTTCCCCTCAAAGAGCTTTAGTGCTTTTTGTGAGAGAATTTGGCCTCTAAATGTTTTTTGCAAGACTGACGATCAAGTGAAGTGTTTTAGTAGCTGTTTTTTTTAAATGCAAATATTCTGACATTTAGTAGCTTTCATTTTTTGTTTGTTTCCATTTTTTATTTTTTTTTTGGTTTAATAACCGTTTTAACTCAGAACAGCACATTGTTTTTATGGGTTCTAACTTAACTGTAACAAAGCTAGATGCAGTTACTTTATGTATTCTGAATTACTTATTTTATTAAAACAAATGCTTTTATCATTAGAGGCTATTTTTACTCCACTTGCATTGAATTCTGTCTTCTTCCCTTTGCCTCTCTACTGTTTCCACTGTCTCTTTCTTCCCTCTCTATCTTTGCCTGATGGAAGCTAAGCGAAGCCAGTCCATCAGCAACTGTGTCCATCTTTACGAGGCTTTGCCCACTGCTAAAAGTGTCCCTATGCTGCTCCACACTGTGAGCTCTTTCTTGCCTGGTATCTCTTCTGGTAATTCTGCTTGCTCTCATAGACTCTCAGGTAAAGTGCACTGTGAGAGCTGCATGTATCTGTGTGTTTGTGACCTCCGTCCTGCATTTCTCATCCATCTCCAATAATCTCTTATACATTTGAAGTGTTTGTCTCTATTAAAAGGGTTCTATTACAGTATAGAACCTGATTTTAATTTAGAATATCTATCCATCCATCCTTCCATATCGTCCATCCCATAGTTTTTTTTGTGTAGAAATATCTTTTACACTTACACTTCAAAGATCTTCAAAGGGAGAAATCTGTATGAATCCTTATTTAAAGTCGCAGGGAAATCATATTTAAATGTCAAACCATTCTGGCTTAAAACATGTATATAAATGTATTCTTTATCAAACTATATCTTCCCAAAATTTAGAAAATTTCTATTTAAAAAAAAAAAAAATCCTATCTAAAAATCTGTGGGATTTTTCTTTATCTCACGCAGGCCAGTTAGTTAGACGTCAGCCTGAACACGTAAATTCGGCCAATCATATATCAATGGTCATCTGTCAAAATCACATTTTTTTCAGTCAGAGCATCTTGATTCATATGTCGCAGCTAATATACGCGATGGTTGAAATAAGAATAATTTACTTTCTCATTGAGTTCCGTCCCAGTGTTCACAGGGATGGACGTCTGTGTCTTCAGCATAGAGCTAACAGAACTGGCAGTGTTGCGAGTCAAGGGCTCAAACATGTACGGCTGTAAGCCTTCTACACCTTCTGCTGCCCTGGCGTCCTCTTCCACAACACCTTCATCCCCGCTGTCCTCCTCTAAATAAAAAATGTATAAGAGTTTCATCCAGGACCTCTGACAGGAAAACTCTCCTCCTCTTGCATGTTTCCGCTGTCCATAGCATTCCTTGACAGTGTCGTTTCTTAGTCACCAATTTAGTGCTACTTGGTCCCAATGTAATTTCCCATTGGGAGCCTACTAGCACCAAGTTGCTAACTGGTTAGCAAGATGCTTCCAAGAAATTGGCCACAACCTTCCACCACGACAATCCCGCCCCTTTAATAAACGACCAATCGCATTCACTTTATTCACTCGTGTAAAGTCGGACACCACTCGGCAGAATTCGGAAATGCAACGGCTGGAACAACGGCTTCCCTATGACTTCAAGATTTAGACAAAATTATATTATTTATAGAATCAACTTCTATGGAAAAGAAAACACAGTCTTGTCTGTAACAATGGCACATAGTCCTTTACTAATGCATGTCTGCCCGTGATGCTTCTCTCCACATCTTCATAAAAGTCTGTTTTTCATCATATGCATTTATTCCGTTCCCTAAACGAAACTCACAGCATGTTTCGGATTATGTGTCTAATTTTTTTTTTTGTTTGTCTTGTCAGAAATTAACCGTTTCTTTTTTTTTTTTCTCCAGATGTAGAGGAGTGTCAGCTCTCAGAATGTGGAGGAGAGGAGGAGATGGGAGGCAGGGAGAGTCCTCTGCAGCGGAGCAGCAGCACCTCAGACATCACCCAGCAGCTGTCTGACACGTTGCCAGGTATTCACCAACACAAAAAAAAAACAGGCCTTCATCAGTCTAAATGTCCTTTCTGCCCTTATTCCCACACTTAAATTGGCTTTTAAGGGCATGATTCTGTGTTTTTATTTTTCATAAAAACAAATCTGATGCTCAGTTATAGATCCATTTATGATTATGTTTTCCTTCATTATGATACTCATGATAATCATATTTTCAAAAGGCAGTTATTAGTGGTTTATGGCTGGTAGTGAACAATATTACTGGAAGATGCACTGTAATAGATTGGCTTCTTTTTAGCTCTATTCTGCTTTTCTATTAGAAAGAAATTTAAATTTAATGACTTCGCTACAATATTCAACATTATGAACAGGAACAGTTCATAATGTATCTAGTAAAAAATAACACATTTCCATTTTTTTAGAAAATTAGATGATGATTTCTAGCAAATAATTCTATGAAAATTTTCACATACTCTCCCCCTGTCCACCAGTCATGTTTAGCCTTACTAATCTTACTTCTGTAATTAAAAATAAATCTTAATAAATAGTAAAGCAGTATTAAATGATCAAGGGAGGTTTTTCATCCTGAGAAGCGTCACTTGGCAAAGCAAAACTGTTGGGTAGAGCTCGGCACACAGATTCCAATTCTTTTGCCATAATGCTGATCATGACAGGGAAAATTTTTTTTTTTTAAAGTTCACGTACTGAAAAGTGTTTTTATCTTCTGTACATTAAATGGGACCCCCTAAGCATATGGTTACACTTTGTTTTTACTGAAGTCACAAAAACAAAGTCCTCCTCAGTTTTTTTTTTTGTTTTTAGAAGAAGTTATGTTTAAATTAGTGTTGCACCGATACCAGTATCGGGCGGGGCCCTGATCCAGCACTAAAATGGTGGTATGGGTATCGGCGAGTACCAACAAATAGTGCACCAATACCATTTTGAGAGGCAAAAGTTTAATGGCATCGGCACAACACTAGTTTAAATGTTAAAGAAAATTCACATATTCTCAGTTTTTTGAGCTTTTAAAGATATTTTTGTTTCTTGCAGCCGAGAAGAGAGACTACTCCCCTACCTCATGTGGTTCTGACAGCAGGATGTCTGAGGGCAGGGCTGAGAGCAATGAGCCACCAGTGGTATGCAACAATATTTACTGTGTTAAGGTCATAAAATGCTTCTTGTTTGAGCTGGATTTGTCATTTATGCTAACTGTGCATCCAGATATTAATCCGACGGAGCAGCAGTCCGACTGAGACGGAGAGCAGCACTGACGGACCCCTGAGTTACACACGACAGAAAATCAGAGATAAAAGTGAGCGATCGCATACTGTCTTCATAGATTATTATGGCCATAGCATTTAGCATAGAGTATGTAACTGTGCTGCTATTCTCTGGTATAAAAGGAACCTTTTATCCTTCTTAAATAGGTGAAAGCGTGAGTAGTGAGACATCTAACGGCTACTTCAATGAAGCTGAAGTCACCTGGCATACATTCGACGAGGAGGCCGACAATCAGTCCACGCAGTCGGCTCACATGGATGTTACAGCCGACCCCCAGAACCAAGGCAGTCTGCTGCTCAGCCACAATGACGCTCTAGCAGGTATTGGTGGCAAACAAATTTACTCTTTTAATGTGTCTGATATAAGCTTGTTTGTCTTTATATGATTCAAGCATTAAGTTAAACACCTTACAAAATGATATGGAATGTTAAATAGAGGATAGTAATGCTCCTAAAGACTAGCAATAACTCAATGCACTTCATCTTACCCAGATTTGATTGTACTCCTAACTTTATGTTTTATGAGGATAAGTGTTGTTGTTCCCTCACATCCCACCCTTTGATGTTAACCTCTTGGTTCCTTGCATTGTGATCCGTGTGTCTCTGTTCTCCCTCAACTCCAATATCAGTTTGATCCCTTTTCCATTGTTCTTTTTAGGTCCCGAGTGTGCCCTCCTCCCCCCCTCTGCTCCTCCCTACCACAATTACCACTACCCCCAGAACCCCCCCTCTTCACCAGCCCTGGTGGTGCACACAGAGTGCCCGCGGGACTGTCCCCTGGATGACACCATACATCAGTCTGTCTTACACATGCCACACCGCTTGGGTACAGCTGCCTAGCTGTTATTTATCATATGAATCATAGCTTTCCTCTCATTGTTTCCACCTCGATATCTTGCATCAAACTACGCTGTTATCTGTGTTCATCTTTCCTCTCTTAAGATAAAGCCTGTTTATTCATCTCAGTGACTTGCAAAAGTATTCAAAGTTTCTAAATTTTGTTAAAGTTACAACCTTACCTTTGGTGTATTTAATTTGGATGTTTGTGATAAAGCAGCTGAAGTAATACAGAATGGAGCTTGAAAGAAAATGTTTCTGGAGTTATTAAAGGCTGCACTGGGGTTCTTGTTATAAGCGGTTTACTACACCAGGTTTTCAAAAAGCTGGGAAATGGGGCCCTTTTTTCTCCATTGAGATATTTCAAGCTTGATGATGAACTGGTATTGCTGGAGTAAATGTCATGCACTGGCTTTTATTTTGAGGGTGTTAGAATAGCAATGAAAAAAAAAAATGTTTGCCACACTGTTAAGATATGTTTTGTTTGAAATTTGTCTTATTTATTCCTCTTCAATTCAGTTCAGTTTATTTATATAGCGCCAATTCACAACAGTTGTCATTTCAATGCACTTTATAGTTCACCAGATCATTCAGTTAAATTGATTAAAAGTTTTCTTTCTAAAGAAAACCAATTAATTGCATTGACTCATCTACCATTTAGCAATCCCTTGCACTAAGCATGCTTGTAGCAACAGTGGAGAGGAAAACCTCCCTTATAACAGGAAGAAACCTCCAGCAGAACCAGGCTCAGCGTGAGCGGCCATCTACTAGAGGCTGACTGGGACTCAAAATTCAGATTTATACACCAGTTTGTGGAAATCTATTGAACTAAATGCTTATAAAATACACAGAATTATGTGGTTGTAACATGTGAAACCAAAACTATCAGTATGAAAACTTTTGCAAGGCATTGAAGTTACATCTATCATTTTTGTACCCACTTTGTTCCCGTCGACTTTGCTGGGTATTAGCTTATTTAGCATGTTGTTATTTTATCTGCTTTTTTATGTTTCATCTGGCTTTTTCACAACCTGTTTATGTTTTTAAATTGAAACCTAAATGTTTAGATAAAGGTATGCTGTAAGATGTTCTTATTTCTTTGCTCACTTTCTTTTTTGCAGTTCTTTTTCTGTCCACTAGGTGGCACCGTTCCCTCATTGTTCATTGAAATGAAGCATGCACTTCTGTGCCTTTCCCCCCAAAAACTATTTCTTTATTATGTACGATAAAAAAAAAAAAAAATCTTCCGGGTCAGTTGCATATAGGGGAAAAAGCACAGAAAATCTAAGATTTAGTCAACAGCTGCTAAAGAAAAAAAATATTTAATTTCTGTCCTACTAATCCTGTCTTCATTTTTCTTATTTGCAATAGTTAATTATCTATGTTGACTAAATCCAATCTCCTTAATAAGCATAACCTTGTTTGATTTTGTCATCTTTTTCTTTTCTCAAACCAAAACTGTTTCTGATCCTGCAGACAGCAGTGAGTGTCTGGCCGATGATGTCAGCATCATCGCTGGGGGGACGCTAACGGGTTGGCATCCTGATTCTGCCTTCGTTCTGTGGAGGAGGATTTTGGGCATCCTGGGAGATGTCAATAACATCCGCTGCCCCAAGATCCATGCCAAGGTTTTCTCTTATCTCTACGACCTCTGGCACAAACTGGCCAAGGTACAAAAAAAACAAAAAAAAAACAACTGTTATAAAGATTTCACCAAACTTAATGTGAAAATATAAACTTCTTCATTGAGTTTTGTGACAATGCTTTAATGAATAAGATGCTGGCAGATTGCTTTAAGTGTCTAAATTTAAATGTATTTTCTCAGATCCGGGACAATCTTGGGATAAGCGTGGATAACCAGTCCTCACCACCCCAGCCTATGTTCATCCCTCCTCTTCGAATGCTTGCGTCGTGGCTCTTCAGGGTATGAACACCACATGAGCACAGCAAGCATCATGCAGACACTCACATGCATCAAACACCGCTATAGATAAGGCAGGGTGGCATCATTTCACTGAGTTTTATTGCTAGTTATCGGGTCTAACAAGTCGAATGTGTTCCATTTCTTAAGAAGTGTTTTCTGTGTCTTCTGTTATTTAATTTTAGTGCACTGAAAGCGCCCCTGACAGTTGGTTATCTCTATGGCAGTCTGGATAGGCCCCCATCACTTAGCAGTCCTGTACTGTGTATCAATAACTGTCTGGTGTAAATCTAGATAAATATTAGTTTTCAGAGAGATGGATGTTTATTATCAGAAATAATGTCAGGAGTATTTTTCAGGGAATTTAAAGTGTGGCTAAAACAGCAAAGACAGCTACTTCTCCTCTAACAGTTAAATAGCAAATAAAATCCTATTAAAGGATCAAACTATTGATATGTGCTGCTGAAGTGTTTATATATTTATTTTTAATATAGCATTAAAAACAGTTATAAAACGGACCTAATAAAAAGTAAATCAGGTTAAAGTTGTTAGAGAAAGGCTGAAGGTTCATTGGTTAGTGTTTTTATTTATTGCTTGTTTCAAAGTCATAGGGAAGTCATATTTAAATGTCAAATCATTCTGGCTTAAACATGTATATAAATGTACTCTTTATCAGAATATATTGTCTCAAAATTTAGAACATTTCTATTCACAGTCCACAAGTTGCTGTTTGTTACAAATCATGTAGGAGATGCAGTAAACAAGAAGCTTTTATTAGCAGAGACTGGTAGAATAATTCAAATTGTGGTTAATTTTTTTTTTTGGACTCTTTAATTTCTCCTTGAAACAAAACAATAATATTTCTTAGTTTTTGTAATTATCTTTTCTCTAAAGTTACACTGTTATTACAAAGTTATTAGAACACATTTACTACCACTTGAAATATAAATATTATCTTTACATATCTTTGATGATTGTACGTGTGGCACCAGTCACAATTCTATCCTGGACCATATTGATCTAAGAGCATATTTACTTAAGGTAATCACTAAACAAAAACTAAACAGGTTTCATATATATTATTTTAGAGTTTACATGTTCTTTGATTATTTGAGGGAAAGTTTTATGCAGCTTCTTATCTTTGTTCTTATTTTCTGTTTCTTCCTGTTTTCCTCAGGCAACCATGCTCCCAGCAGAGTTCAAGGCTGGTAAACTGCAGGCATACAAGCTAATCTGTGAGATGATGACCAGACACCAGGATGTGCTCCCAAACAGTGACTTCTTGGTGCACCTGTACCACGTCATGCACAAGGGCTTCACCAGCGATGACCAGGTACAGCCACAAGGTGGCTCCTTGAATAAGATCCTCAGGTTTCTCTTTTCTTAAATAATTTTTATTCTTTTATTGCCTCTAGATGGCGCATCAGTCAAACTAAGATGCGCTTAATAACTTTTAAAGTAAATCTTTGCTTTAGCTTACCTGTTAATATGTCTCCTGTTTAATTTTTATTCAGTGGTTTCTGAGATAATTCTGTTTATTATTTGGTCCTTATATGTCAGCTTTAAAATTAGCCTTTTCCAATTAGAAGTATTTAGACTCAACCTGGATAAATTAAGGAGCATAGATTTACATTAGTTTTATAATTGTAATCAGTCTTGATGGGAAAAAAAAGCTAAACAATCAAACCGACATGCCAACCTGTGGTGCTTAGAAGAACAGCTCTGTTTTGGCATCTTCCTTCTCTTTTTCGCCACACCCTCTCTAGCATTCAGTTCTGGCGTAGCGCCTTTGCTCCTAGACAAAGATGAGTGGAGATGAATAGAGTTCCCAAAAACAAAAGGAGAAAGATAAAAAAGTCTGGGTGAGCAAGGGGTGTTTGTGCTACGAATGTGTGTGTGAATATATATGCATATATATGGCCTCTTGGCTGGGTTTCTGTTGCGCTTTGGCAGTGCGACAAGCTTATTAGAATGTTTTCCATGTCGTTAAATAATGTTTTGAGCCCCTGCAGTGTATACGTGATTAATTAAGGATTGACGTCTGCCGCGCTCCGTTAGAGTGACACATCGGCCGGGGGCCCAGAGTTAGAGCGGCCCTGCCTGCCTGCCTGTGTGAAGGAGCGGGAGGGGAGCCTGGGGAACGCAGTGTAGAGTAGAGCAATGAGGGGGGCTCGGCGCACCGCGAGACCAGGCAGCATTCTCCAGCTTTTGTTGTGGCTCTGTATAATGCGTTAGGGGGCCAGAGCCAGGCTGGCCACTGAAGCATGCTCAAATTGGCCAGAGAAAAGAGTCCTCACGCCACACAATAGAGGACAGCCGCACGCCTGCTTAACATAAGAAAGTGGCTCTTATTCTCCCCCACCTCCTTCCTTTCCGCCTCCTCCCCCACCACCCGCTGCAATCCCAAAAATATATATAAAAAAAAATTCTACCTTTTTCAAGTCAAAAAAGAGAATTTTATCACAAATATTTTTGCACAAAATAAGATCAAGCAGCCTGATGAACAAAAGTTTTCTTCTTTTGATTCAAATAAAGCGAGATATCTCATAAAGTTATTCCATTTCAAGTCAGTTGTTTATCTAAATCTTAACTTTTTTTTTTTCATTATTGAGGATTTTTATAGAAATTTCTGGTTGATTAAATCAGCTACTCTTCGATTCCTCCTCCAGCTGACAGCAGGCCAAGGTCAGGGCTATTGTCCTAGTTTTTCTGTCACTTACTGGTTTGTGGTCTCAAAGGCAAGATGGCAGCACAATAGCAGTAATCGATCAATAAAAGTCTTTCTAAAAGCTACGTAATCTAGAGTTAAACAGTTATCAGCCTATGTTTGTGAAGTTTAGTGATGGAAACACAGTGGTGTCCTCAATCAGGAGTCTTTTTTGTCACGTTTACTGACGCAGGTCAGAATCTGTGACATGGTGGAATGGTTGGATTATCCTTAACATTAAAACACTTAAATGTAGCTCATTACATTTCATTGGTGTTGCACTTAACTTCCCTAATGGTGCTCAGGATGCAGAAATCTCTCCTACCCCTTCTTTACCTCTCACGACTGGAGTTTCTTCATAACCACCTTGATATGCTGCTCCAACAATAGGTTATCTCAATAAAAAGATATGCAACATGCTGACAGGACACAGCCTTAAACGTGCATAAAATCATTCATTTCTGAAGGTCAAGTCTTTAAAGTTTTAAGGAAGTCATATTAAAATTGCCAAATCATTCTTGCTTAAACATGTGTGTAAATGTACTCTTTATTAGACGATATTGTCCCTAAATGTAGAAAATTTCTATTTAAAAAAACAAACAAATCCTGTCTTAAAATCTGTGGGGTTTTCCCCCCGTTATGCAGGCCAGTTAGTTATACGCCAGCCTGAAAACCTAAATTCGGCCAAATATATATTAACTGTCATCTGTCAATCAAATGTTTCGGTCATAGCCTCTTGATTCATATGTCGCAGCTAACATATGCAACGATTGAAATAAGAAATAAGAATAATTTCCTTTTGCATTGAGTTCCGTCCCAGTGTTCACGGTGATGGACGTCTGTGTCTTCAGCAGGCGTAGAGCTAACAGAACTGGCAGCTTTGCGAAGCAAGGGCTCAAACATGTACGGCTGTAAGCCTTCAACACCAAACCAAGCTTCTGCCGCCCTGGCGTCCTCTTCCACAACAACTTCGTCCCCATTTTCCTCCTCTAAATAAAAACTGTATGATGGTAGAAACTCATCCACGACCTCCGACACAAAACTCTCCTCCTCTTGCATGTTTCCACTGTCCATAGCGTTCCTTGACAGTGTCGTTTCTAAGTCGCCAATTTAGTGCTACTTCGTCCCAATGTAATTTCCCATTGGGAACCTACTAGCACTAAGTTGCTAACTGGTTAGCAAGATGCTGCCAAAAAACTGGCCATTTGCTTCCGATCCTTCCACCACAACAGTCCCGCCCCCTTGATAAACAACCAATCACATTCACTTTATTCACTCATGTAAAGTCGGGCACCACTCGGGAGAATTCGGAAATTGAACGGTTGGAACAGCCGCTTCCCTACGACTTTAAGGTTAAACATGAACTATGGACATCCACTATACAATAACTACTGTTCAAATATAAAATAAACTGTTTCTTTTTGCCTTTACTCTACCTCTACTTTGGCCTAAAATGATCCATGCTTTGATCGAGCCCACAGGAGAGAGGAATGTCAATGTAAATAGTCCAAAAATTTCTTAAAACTCTACACTTTAAAACTCAACTGAATAACTTTGAGTAGTTAGTCACACATGCGAAAAGCTTCCACTAATTTTTAATGGGTAAGCAGAGGAGTTGGTTTTGTCTCTGCTCTGACTGCAGGCGTGGTTTTTAGCTGAGATTGACCCCCTTGCTTTGGAAGTGGGAGGAGCTGGTACCCTGCAAAAACAGTATAGAAATAAGTACAAATGTAAGTGTATTTACCCTTTATTTGAGTAGATAAATAAGGTGATTTGCCAATGGAATGAGTATTTTTACTCTTAAAATAAGATGATTTGATAATATTCATTGAAATAAGGCAATGCAATTGTTTTTTTAATTTTGAATGTAAAATGTCTTGTTCCATTGGCAAAGAGTCTCACTTACCTCCTAAATTCAAGAACAAATGCACTTAAGAAAAAATTGACTTATCTAGATTTCAATTTTTTCCATTGTAGCAGCCCTCGCTGCTCTCTGGAGATGGATAACGTGATCGGAGCAATCAGAGCTTATGGCCAAAATCTCTAAGAGAGAAAAAAGTCAGTAGATTTCTTGCGCGTCTTTAAAAAAAGAAAGAAAAAGAGGTCTGAAATGTCCCTAAATAGAAAGACACAGTGACCAATTTGGAAGCAGTGTTGGGACTCATCTCTTGTTTTCCTGAGAGCTGCGAATTGAACAGTAGCCGTTTCACAGCCAGATGTTGGTATTTCAAAATAAAATAAATTTTAAGAATTTCACGATATTTAAATTAATAAAGTTCTTTTAGTTTTTTTAGTGTTACTTTGATCAACTGCATGTAACAGAAACTCTGATCTTGTTGAGATACCTTTGTAATTAGTTTGGGAATTTACCTAATGCTAAGCTGGTTTTCTTATTATTTTGTTTTGTCACCATGGTAACAACCAGTCAATGTCCTGAAAAAAACAACAAAAAACAATCTTGTAAACTAGGACATGAACAATATCTCTTCTTCTCTTACAAAATAACACATTTTGTTTTAAACTTAAGTCACTTAGCAGATTGAATGCTTAAACACAAAAATAAGCTATAAATTGGTTTAAATAGCAACAAGCAACAATCAGTCATCTTTAATCATTTAAAATTATGTTATCAGCAAATTCAGTTAATTTGTCATCTGGGCGACAATAATATATTTTTGAAGCCTTATATAATCTAGATTTTTCTACCTTAAAATTTTTTATTTAGATTTCCCTTGTTGGATAAAACCTGATGTAAGCAACCTCTATGATACTCTATTGTTTTCTTCACAAAGTGTGTTTAAGTTTAGCCATTTTATTAAGATTTCCTGTCATGCAAGGGCAAATAAACACCACGATAAGCTCATGTTTGTTTGTGAATAACTGAGCTATTTTATATTTCTTATATTGTGTGTTCAGTGAGATTAAACCCAACTTTGCCGCTAAATCTACTGTTGATCTCTGACTGGTGAACTCTACTCATATTTCTTTATTAAATCTTTTTGATGAAATGTATCCAATACTGTGTGGTGTGATGAAATGCCAGAATGAACCCTGTCACCTGTCGCCGGGCGGATTGCATTCTTCCCTGAAGATGAGGCCACGTTTGTTTTGGGGAAAAAAAAGAAGAATGGAAAAAGGCCTGCAGTGGCTCTATTCAGAGTTAACGTTAATGCACCTTTTGTTGATGCAGTGTGCCATTCCTCCTGCCAACAGCTCTGCTTCTCTCAGTCCTGATTTCTTTACTCACACCTGAAATCAGGTCCCCTCTGCTCATGCGCCCAATCGAAAGCACTCTGCCGCCTGCATTTGTGGCTTCCTCTAAAATGCTTATTTCAGGCAATCAAGAAACAGTTTGTTGCCTGCTAATTACCTCTGACTGCACTGCACATTATGCTTCAGAGGTCAATTACCAACAAAATGAGGGTAAAATTGGACCCTCAGCTCTAAAGCTCTTCCCATCAATTTTCCACATGCAGCGCTGATGTTGCTTTGACTTCCTGCTTTTTATGCCTCTGTTTAGTCTGTTTTCCTTTTGTTCACCTGCATAGCTGTTTACCAAAGGTTTGGGGGTTGCTTATGTCACAAATACAGAGGTGGCACGGTGTGTTTATGTGTCTCTGCTGGAGAAATTGTACGCATGTTTGTTAACATGAGCCTGGATTCAGGCACAAACAGGCTGATGTTTGAACTGTCGGATTTACTCAGGTTTATAGCCATGAAGGCAGGTGTTTCTGAGCTGGACCTTGGCTTTGTACACAAATACTCACATACACGCCACAGATAAGAGAGAGCAATTCTGTTCTTGTTGAGATGTAGCATTCTCATACCAGTTTTATATATTTTATTTATGTTTAGGGATATTTTAAGCATTTCCTTCTGCCTTGGTTTGGAAGAACACTTTTAAGTGTGTGTGGGGTTATACTGTACACATTTAAACAGTGTGTGTGAGACCCTCTGCTGTACAGCATATGTCGGTGTTGAAAGAGTACCCATCTGCCACTGAGCCGCTGTAACTCTGCAAAACAATACGTTGTCTCTGGCTTTAATTACAGGTTTGCTGGTGTGTGTGTACCTACATATGACTCATGAAAGTTGAGGTCTTTTGTCGTCCCTCTTATTCAGTTTAAACAATCCATCTGCTGCCTCTCTTCTTCCTTTCCTCCTCTCCTTTATTGTAATTTACTCTTGAGGTTTTTTTCTTTACACTATAGACTTGCTTTAAATGATGAGCCTAACTACCTGTTGCAGCATAATATTTCTACTGGCCCATTTATGAAATTTTGCTTCTGCTTTACTAGAAGTGTGCAGAAATCTTGGAATTGGGTAAAAATGTTAGTTTGTTCCTTAATCGCTGTCAAAATCTGGCCTTAGTTACTGTGAATGTAATTCTAAGTTGTTTTCTTTCACTTCATTAGGATGTTTTGAATAACATGGTCCGCTCCTGCTCGCCCCGCTTCTTCTTCCTCGGCCTCCCGGGCTTCACGATGCTGCTTGGAGATTTCATCACTGCTGCTGAACGCGTCCTCTCCTCTGACTCCAGAGAGGTACCAAAAATTTATGTTTAATTCATCCAACAGCCCATTTCCAAAGCTTTAATCATCATTTACATTGTTTTTCATGTCTTGAATATAATTTTCAAAATTTATTTCTAAGCATATATAAAATATGTTGTCTATTTTACATTCCCACTCTATAATGTTCCTCTTTACCTGTGGTTTCCCTTCAGTTTTCTTAATTAGCTGAGTTATTGCAGTGTTTATGGTTTAACCAGGTGTAAATTTGACCCGCTCAGTAGGTTTCAACATGCTGGATTTAAACTGGTATTATATAACTTAATATAGATATCTATATATAGATGTCTTTATGTATCAGTAATGGGATTAAATGGAATTAAAAAATACAATTTAAAAAAAACCTTTTTGATTAAAGAAAAACAACACTTTTCCTCTAAATTGTCTAATTAAGAAATATATCACAACAACACATGCACAAACACACAATTATATATTGTTTTGAATCCAAATATTTAGGTTAGACAAAGATTGGATTGGTTAAATGTTATTACGATTTAGTTTTAAGTTAAGTTTTAAGTTATTCTTTTTATTTTTTTATGCAACCTCTTTGAAAAAATGACTTCTATGTGTGTGTGAATAGTTCATGTTCATTAATTATAGCACAAATTCTTCAACTAAATGTGGTACAAAAATACAGTATGTTGAGCCACAAGGCATAAATTATTGCCTGTAAACAGAAGAGTTTTTTTTTCTAATACAGACACAACTTCTACAGTTAAGCTGTGCATGAAGCTTTAATTGATAATTTATACTTGATAATTGCTATCCATTGTGCAGCATTTAGTGCTGTTAAAACATTATCCACTGAGGCTACTGTTTCTCATTTACAAATATTCAATTTCCAAGGTTTTAGTTCCTTTCCAACTGCCAGAGCTGTTCAGATATATAATGCTTATTATGGCGAGCACCAAAGAACCTCCGCCTTAGCTTAGATGTCCATACCGTATTCAAGTATTTAGAAAGTACACCTTGCTGCAGTACTCGCACTCGGTTTGATCCATTTTTTATATGCCCCCAGTGGAACAACACCTGTGATGCCACTTGGTTACCAGATTTACGGCTGTACAAGAAACGACGAGTAAAGCCTGGGACTTGATGTNGGATACAACATTTCAGTATCAATACTTTTTTGAGTATCGATACTTTTGACAACCCTAATATATATATATATATATTTATTTATTTATTTTACCAATTTTGCGATCGCGATTTTATTTAGATCTTTTCCTTTGCACTGACGACGAACTCATAAATGTTTTCTTTGAGGGTTTATGGATTTTTCGTTACCTCAAAATCTTGCTCTTCCAGATTCCATTGTTGTAAAACTATTGTAACCTTTGTGTGAAAAAGTTCTTACTTCTACTCTTACGCATGGAATTGTGGGCTAGCTGCAGCTCTCTCTACCTTTCTGTGTGGCAGCAAGTGCATTACTGCCACCTAAAGGCCAGTATAGCATATTTCTCCTGTTAAATGTAATGTGATCAAAATTTATTGAATTGTTTGGAAATTGCGTTTTGTTAAATTGCGATTATCTTGCAAATGCAATTAATCGGTCAGCCCTAATCGACAGCATCAGAGCACCACTGGGGCTGGCACTATTCCTATTCACTCTGTGCACCTCCGACTTCCAGTACATAACAATCTTGTCATCTTAAGAAATTGATAGCTGACCCTGCATCATAATTGCTGCTGTTTTAATTCTAGAAAAACTTTTATTTTGGTCATGTAAATTTTTTTCCAGAAAGTAAAACATTGTATCTCATTATCCTAACTCTAACAGTAAACATCACTCTTATAAGTGTGTATATTGTTTTATTCTTTTTTTCCTTTGTTGTTTTTTTGTGTTTTGATTGGGCTTTTAAAAATCCACAGATAAGCCTAAAAAAAAATCCAAGGAGCAAAAAACAGAAATGCTTGAAATGCCTGTCATTTGTATGACTTGTCCAAAACTCAAGAATGTAATTTGGAAAAAAAAACCTTCCAGCATTCTTTCCTTATTGTGCTAGAATGTTGGAGTGAGCAACAATGACAGAATTTATAACCACAAATTACTTTCCTGTGATTTACTAAAAAAATGGAACAAGGTTGTTCCTCTGTTTTTTGGAAAAATAATACAAAATAACACCCAAAATCTTAACTCTTAATTCCTGTGTCCATATTTACATTTTGTTAGCTCAAGCTTGATATGATTTTAAAAAATTATCAGACAAAGCAGGAAAAGCAATACTATGTTGTAGTTATGATAATATTCCTGAAGTTAAATTGACATTTTTAAATTTGTCTAATATTCTGTAAAAAAAATTTTATAATTACATAATTTCTTTGTTTTTTTTTCCTTAGCTCTGTTACATTTAAAAGAAGCTCTATTGAAATGTCTGTATGTATTTCAATGTTAGTAATACTGCAAAATCCCACTTATAATTTTGAGTAAAGATTATATGAAGAGCCAATGGAATGTTGAATCATTAAATCAGCCAATTTCTATTTAAACTATTAATTTAATTGGATAAAGAAATACACAAAAACAAATCTAAAGATTATCCAACAAAGGTAGAACTAGAACAATGAGAGCAATTCTGAAAATAAAAGCAATAAACTAGCCAATAAATATAGATGTTTTAGACCACGTATCAAAGCATGATTGTTTTAGTGACATCAGTGTGTGATTTCACAATCAAACTGTCTTCTTTGAGCCATTTAATAGTAGAATATCATTTCAGATGTTCTGCATTTACATATTAAATACTTATTGTATGTTTTCCAGTTGAATGGAGCCTTTCTTCCGTAATTTATATCATAGCTGTGATACCATAGTCTTATCTTAGGGAAGGTCCCTCAGTAGCCTTGTCCTATATTATATGACCTACTTTAAAGTAAAAAAAGGCTGCTTTTGAGGCTGTTGGGAGTGCTGCATTAGGATCTTTGGGTGTTTTTGGATCACTGCTGGATCCGGGTTGGTCACTGAAAGAAAATAAAGGTGATGCTATATGCATGTTCCCTGGTTCGAATCCCAAAGATTAATACTCTTGATCCCAGATCCCCACAATGCTTCCTTGGTGCTGCACAGATGCAGCTCTGTAAGTGATAGGTGAAACGCAGAGGAACGTTTCCATTGGGATGTACGAAGTTGCAGTGACTTATGATGATGTGATAATTAGTTTGGAGGAAGAACTTGTCTTTCAATAGTAGATGGATATAACACTGTGCGATTAAAACAACGTGATTTATTGCAACTGGCTCTTAAAAGATTGACTAGTCTTTTCTAACCTTATCATAAAACTTTAATTCTTCCTAAATCAATGCACTTCAATGCTCGGATTAAACCATTCATTAGCGTACTTGTGGTTAAATGAGAAACGCATCACATTAGACAGGCAAAGATACAGATTTATTTTCCTAAAGAATTTTCAGAATCGAGAGACATTGTTATTCCAAATATTACTATAACTTTTAACCCTTGTTTTCATTTTCAAATGATTTAAAAAGAAATGTTATGGTTTACTTACATGTTTATTACGAAAAAAGATATGAAAAACAATCCACTGGACTTTGTCTTAGAGGTTGAGGACGTTTTGTTTCCCATCCAGGAAGCTTTTTCAATTCAAAATGTCAGGAATGGAGTTGAGTTTGAGGTTTTATACATTAGCCGAACAAAACCTTGTTATTGTTTTGAAAACATGTAAATTGACACAGACAAAGGGATCCACCACTTTGGAATGGGAGTCATTTGACTTCTTTTGTTAGCCTGCAATGCTAAAAAAACATGCTAACAATTACATCTTTTTTTTTTTTTTTGAGTTTGAGTTTAACCTGCAATCAGTTATTTGGTTTTCCAGGGCTTTCCAGGGTCGTAGCTTCATGTAGAATATCTGAAAGATCACTGATGATGATCAAGTTTATTATAGTGGATCTATGGATATTGTATCTAATGCAAAGCTCCTTTTGTTTTGTTTTTTTACAATTGTTTGCATTCATGTGTTGTGTTTTTTTTTTTGCGTGTTCGTCTCCGTCAGGCTCCCAGGATAGAGGCTCAGACGATCTTGGGTTCACTCGTCTGCTTTCCCAACCTGTACCAGCAGATTGCTATACTCAAAAGTGTGCCTGGCTCTAATGACGTCAGTGTAGGCAATGACAATCTCAAGGTGAGTAGTTAGGAAGGATTAGGTGATGGATTATTCATCCTCTGAATTAATTTGTCTTCTATTCTAACAAATGTTGAGCCGTATAGATTACTTTTAACTATTTCACTATCAAGAGGATTTCATAAAAAAAACTTTATATATCATACAATACCTGCAAACAGTAAACATACCTGTTAGGTTTTTGTATGTTTTTACAAGTGTTTTCATGTTTTTTTTCTGAGGATATTTTAGTTTTAGATCGGAGCAAAAAAGTTGGAATTTTTATTCTTTTTCTTAAGTTTGTTTTAAAATGAGATAGACTGACGAATCAAAAACATTTTTAAAACAAGGTGACTTCTTAAAAGCTATTACTGCAAATCTTTCAAGTCTCTTCGCAAGAGATTTCGAGTATCGTTAAAAAGTAGAAATCTGAGCAAGTGGAGGACAAAGTAGGAAATTAATTCCATAAATGTTGCAGAGGATGCACTTGATTAAAAAAATTTCCTTCTCAAACTAACTTAAAAGATAAGAGGAAAACAACTTCAAATGTGTCATCAGTTTGTTGATTCATTTTTTTCCCTTAAATTATAGTTTTATGAGGTTAGAATTATCATAAATGTCTATATCAAACTGAAAAATTGTGTTTTGTTGTAATACGTTAATGAAAAACAAATAAGGGTTATATTTCCTAACAAATCTTACTGTTAGAACTAGTTGTTAACTGATTCTGAGGTGGAACCCTTTAGGTTTTGTTAACCACTTCAGTCCCACATTGTTTAATCACTAAAAATATGTCTTAACTAATTTTAACCAGATGTTTTGTTACTTCTTTCTGTTGTATTGTTTTTAAAGATTATCACATTTCTTCTGTTGCTGTAATGATAATTACACTAGATACAGATCATTCATACATTTGACTCATTCCCAGCCTTGGATTTAATAAATTTATAATCTGCCAATACAAATTTTTAGCTTATTTAGACTCTAAAGGTCTCTAGCTGTCTGACTCCCAAAGTTGGGGAGCCCACCTGGTGTTTGAGGTGAGCAGGTATGGGATCTCGAGATCCTCTGCAGAAATTCAAGAAACCATTAAAAACGACAATGATGACCCTAAAACACTGGTTACTGATGCTGTTTGTGTTATTATAATACCAAATATCGATTGATTTTATAGAAATGTTGAAATTCTCTGCCAATAGTTTGGGTCTTAAATCTAAAATGTTCTGATAATCTGTGCTCCAGATTAATCGGACATACACCTGAAATGATTATTTGAGAATGAATGGATTACTGATTCTGTTCTGTTTATTTGTTCAGAATAATCTGGTTGGGATTCTTCTGGGTGCAGCTACTAAGGAGCATTGTGAAGGAGCAAGGTATGATTACCTGCAGTGGTTCTGGTTATCTGCTAGAACACACCTGTAATTTTCTTTAGTTTGATGAACGGCAGTTTTCTTTTCATGTCTCTGGGTTCCCCTCAAGATATGAAAATGTTTTAGAAAAATAAATGCTTTTTTTTTTTTTTTTATGTCAGTGTTCTCTGTCTTAAATTGTAAACACATAGAATCAAAAATATATAAAATAATCACACAGAGTGAAATATTCAAAGCTTCAAATCCATGACAGGTCTGTCATGGATAATCATCTTAAGTTAGTCAAAATCCAAAATTCTGTTTCTCAGAAACTAGAGTACTTCATAAGGTCAGTGACTCATATATTTAATTCAGTTCTAGGTTATTTCCATTAAGGCCGCAATCATCCTAGCTTGTGCATATTGTTCCACTCAACTTTCCATTAATAATCTGAGAGACCAAACATTCTGTAAAGCGACAGCGCATGCAAGAGCATGCACAAGCCCATTTCTCCTCATGCACACTCTGTTTAAAATGTGCTGTTCCCATAGCTCATACAAGCTTACTGTGTCCATGTACAGCTGGGACTATATAATGGACTTTATAGCAAGCTGAGTTTACTGACCGTTCGGACAGACGATCACTTCTTTTCTCTCCGTTGGTCATGTAACTCCTCCTCCACCGTGTGGAGCCTGCGCCATCTTTGTTATTAGTCGCTGGTGTCGGGTAGCTACAGCCTATGTCAACAGCGGGCCGCTGTGAAAGCAAATCCCATAAGGCTTTGCGAGGACAGCTCTGTGTGCAAAGTATTCTAGGATATATTTGCCTCTTCTGAGGCCTTTCTTTTGTTCTCATACACTTCGTAGAAACTTTTTCTCTTACGACCCTCTGCCATTTTCAAAGAACCGTGGCGAGAAAGGTGAGATTCAGTGGCTATTTGAAACCATAGCTCACCACAGATATAGGCCTGAAAGTGCGCATAGGCAGAAAAAGATAGGACATCCTTACATAAACATATCACCAGAATGATAAAAAAAAATTGTTTTTAATATGTTTTTTTAAGGGAGAAAGTCCACTTCAAAACATTATCTGTGCAGTCAGTTCATCAGGATTTCGATCCTGCCTTAAAATATAATTTCGCTGTTTGAGCCGCACAGACCCCCACATACCGGCGGTGCGCTGTCACTGAAAATCCCCAGCAGTAGCCAGCCTCAAGCCGCCAACCTCTTTGGGATTTTCCGCTATTGTTGGGGATGTCTGGACGTGGTTGTTAATATTTTAGGTACAAAATGCAGGCACCAGAATATTAAAAGAGAACCTATTTTGCTGACAGGTTTCGACATTTTAAGTAAATTCAGGCCATAAGCCGGGCTTACACTGTGCTATTTTTTGCAATTTTTTGGGGGACTTTCCATTTGTGCCATAATTTTTTGATCAGCCCGACTGTACAGGGGCTAACAAGGGGCGATCAGCCTCTCACAACCAACTCATGATCAGGAATCGTGAGGGCTAGAGAAAATGAAACATGTTTGAAATTCAGTTGACCATCGCGGGCAAAATCGCTCATTGGGCAAACGAGGATTCCTCTTCTTCTTCCTCTGAGATAAAAACACAGAAGCATGGCAGGGGTGCTAGTGAAATGGAGTTCTTTCTGCATAATTGACATAAACAGTAGTAGCCAAGTTTGCTCAGCTATGTCTTTGACCAAAGACGTTGTTGCCTTTTCTTTTTAGGGCTTTCAACACAAAATTGCACAAATTGCCAAGGCAGTGTGTTTCACTCTTGTGAGCTTCATATTCCTCTCTTACTCGTTTGGCTTCCAGATTAATGAGTCCGAGTAGCGCCATCTCACTGCGGAGCTGAGCCTGACGTGGTTTTTAGACGTACAATGTGAGCAGGTGGATCGCATCAGAGCGTCGGGCCACACAGTCTGAAAGCAAACATTTTGAGCTGTGAACTCACACTGTATGACACCCTGCATTTTCGTCTTACGGTGTGAGCTGCAGCTGCGTGCAACGATTGAAAAAAATCGCACAGTGTACACTTGGCTTTAATAAACTATTTTGCTTGAGTGGTCATACACTTCGCTTGGCTTTGTTCATGAAAAAAAATTCTCCTTGCCTTTTATGTAAAGCTACAAGAGTTTTACCTTGTTATTTATATATATATATATATATATATATATATATATATATATATATATATATATATTTTATTTTATTTTTTTGTATATTTCTGATGGCTTTATTCTGACAGCTCTGCATGAGCAGTGCTGTGTTCTCTTTGCCAGCTTCCAGATCAGCTTCTCTGATTGGTTGATGTGTCGCGTTGACCAGCAAAAGTTCAAATTTTCAAACTTCTGCATCAGTTGCTTGTGAAGCAGGTCACTCACTTTAGATGCTCTGAAGTTAATGAGGCGCTGCTTCACCTGCTCACATGCTTCAAGACGCGCTGCTCCTGCTGCTCGGGACGTGCTGCATGTAAACCTGCGTTTTTTGCTGATCAGATTGCGTTCGGTGTGAACGTAGCGTTAAAGGAAATCTTAGTGAAGAGTGTCTGATCATCAGTCATTGCTAGAAGCTTATGTAAGATTTGGGTAAGCAGCAGGAGAAGCAAAGCAATTGCACTACTGATAGGCTCAAATAAAACAAACTAAGGTTTGCGGTGCTCTGGTCAAAAAATGTATTTCAAGTAGGGACATTTTGGCAGAACTTAAATGGCCCATTCAGGCATGAAAACACCCTATTTTGATGAATAATACAATATGAAAGATGAGTTTCTGCAATTGTAGTGCTTGGTGAAAGTTGTTGCTGCAAAGGGAGGCACAACTACTTATGTTGAAGGATCAAACACTTTTAAACATGTTAGTTTGGGCATATCTTCCCTTGATAGATAGAATTATCGCTTTCATTTATTGTTTTTGACATTAACGTTAGTTATTATGATCTAACATGTTTGAATCTGACAAAAGCAAAAACGGATAAAGAGTATGAGACTAATATCTTTCTATCTAACTACAGGATTATTTTTTGTATAGATTTTTTGTTTAGATGCTGTTGTTTCTTTGTGAACTGATGTATTCTGGTTCTGCCTTTCAGGTGCATTGCTGTATGCAGCCTGGGCCTGTGGGTATGTGAGGAGCTCATGCAAAAGACCATTCACCACCAAGTAAAAGATGCCATCAATGTTCTGGGAGTAACACTAAAGGTCTGTAACTTTAAAAAGAGCTTGTTTGTACTTTTTTGTAAATGTAAAGCATAGAAATGCTTTTTCTTTTTAAATTACTAGCCTCATTTTTATTATTTTATGCACCATAGTTGTAGTGGGGGGAAAAAACGTATCGAGTGAATTACTGTGTCTTAAAATAAATGTGTACATAATAGCTGTTTTTATTCTACTATCCCTATTTGGGTTTAGCTTCAACAATAATTGGAGTTGATTGCATAAAAGGACTGCAGAACAATTTTGCCATAGTGGAAGACCGAGAAAAAGTTGGAATAAAACATCTCCCTGATGTGATATGACTCATAGGTATATTTTTAAAGAACCCTCTTTTTTTTTTTCTCTGAGTGAAGAGATGCAGAGAACCAAAGGATGCTGTGACTTTTTTTTTCCCCCCACGAAAAAGGATTTTGGGCGGTGGCGTAATTTCCAGTCTGCTCGCTCTCTGTAGATGTGGGCCAATTTAAGCAGCTACATCTCCCAGCTTCCTGCTTGAGCACCCCCGCCTCCCCCACCCCACCCCTTCTCTAATGGAGCAGTAATCACTCCCCTGTACAACTTGACACACAGACTCAACCAGCCCCAAAATAGAGGGTATATGCTGGGTGGGGGAACTAGGGGGAAGAGTGGCACTGAGAGTCTCTTTTCTAAAAGCAGGTGCTGAACTCTCAGGGCCCCTTTTTGTGTTTGGCCATTTCTGTACTCCCCACATTGTCTGCCCTTGTTACATGTTGAGAGGCATTCAGCTGGAAGAAATGGGAAATTCTATTTCTCCACAAAGAATTTCAAATCACTGAAGAAATCCACATTTGAAGGAAAATTGTCAACAGCTCAATTCTTTCCTCCAATGAGTCTGGAGAAAATGAGGCAAGGTTCTGAAGTGAAATGAAATTATGCTGATCATCTGCACAGTTAAGCGAAAACTAAATTTAAGGGAAATTACGAAGAAATGGCCCTCAGAAAGTGCATCTTGGGTCTAAACTTTAATTCACCATCTACAATAAGCAGAGGCGTCCTGCTTCTATAAAATTCAGGTATCTCAGTGAGACATAATAAGAAGAAATTCTATTTTATTATGAGGTTATGATTACAAATGATCAAATTTGTGAATAATTGTTTGGAGTGCAAACACGTCAAAGATAAAACTAGAGCACTTAAGCGCTTTCCAGCTGTAATGGATTCATTGAATGTTTACAATTTCGACAAATATAAAAGAATATAATTTTTTTGTACACCATAAATGCATCAGTTAATGCAATAATTGTTAATTGATTTAGCAAAATTACTTATTGCTATTAAACTAATAATATCAGGGTAATCTAATATTAAAGCTGATAAATGCAGCAGCATATAGATACATATTCTATAAACTTAATTCACTGGTTTACATTGCACAATAGTTATGTGGAGTATTTTGGAATAAAAGCTCCAAAGAGTGTGTTAGAAAGTGTCTTTGAACAAAAATCATTTCATTTATTTTACATGATTACAAACCCTGAAAGAGCTAGTTATTGCCAAGCTTACTCATAAATAATATCTGATTTAAAGCCAGCTGTAAGAGCAAAAACTTGTTTATCCTACTTGTTTTCTGCCCTTCAGAGTGATTCTTGCTACAACTCAAATTGGTAAAAAAACAAAACAAAGTAAATCTTTTTTTTATTTTTTATTATTATTATTATTGTTATCTATTAATTAAAGGCGCGCCACAGACTTTGTGACCTAAAGAGTTGACGCGTATGACTTATTTTAAATGATTCTTCAGGCTAATCTACACCGGTTCTCACTATCAATGCCACGAGCGGGGCTGCCCTCTTGAAATATCGACTATGTAAGTTGGGAGATGATGCACCGTCGTTGGCTAGGTATTGTGATCTGGAAGAACGTATCGCTTTAATGCTGCAGTAGTAGCCATTCAAAAATTCCCCACTTTCCTTGTTGGACCCTTGGCTGGTCCACTACAATTCCTTTTTTAAACATCAATCTTTGTACTAAAATGTTCTTTCTGTCATTATTTGTGGACATTAAGATCTAAAGAGAAGCCTCATCTTCTGGTCAGACCCTGTAATTTAGAGAAAGGGTGGAGTCAGAGTAAAAAAAGCACACCCAGGAGAAGGCCATTGGCTGGAAGTGGGAAGGGATTTTGCTGGGAGCCACAGGGGAGTACGCTGCCATTCAGCTAGCGTCTGTCTGGAAAGGGCCATTTTGAAACCACTGGAAACAGCAGAGATTGGTTTTAATTACCAGAACAATGTTGAAATTGTTTGGTTTTTGTTTTCCACATCTGTTAGATTTTTTTATTTATTATTAACTATTATTTACTTAGTATTAAATTGGGTATATTGGGTGTTGCGCATGTAATTTGTTATATTTTTTCGCCGATGTCCTTAATCCCTCCTCAAGAACTTTGCATTTAGTCTGAGATGATGATCCAGCTGTGCTCAGGTCATAAAGTGTTCACATCGCCATTCAGTGCTATGTGCATCGGCAACTATAGATTAAAGATAGTTATGTTTCTTTTTATTATAATTACTATTTTGTTTTATTTGTTTGTTATTTTTATACAAAACTACAAAGTTTCAAATTGGCCTGGAAGCAATTAGAGAAAAAGAAACCAAGACAGAGGCATAAGACAGGGAGAAAACAGGTCATGGCCAGTTTTGAGACCTCCTATCCCTGCTTTCTAGTCCCTCTTATGCAGTTTTTGACAGTTTACATTTTAAAATTATTATATATAATATATATTATTATTATATATAAGATTATCAGTTTGGGTTTTTTGTTTTCAGATTGTTTAGGTGTGTTGTAGCTGATAAGAAGGAAGCATACCAGTACAGCAACTTTTTGCTTTTGGCCCCGTTCTCCAGTCCTAAAAGTTGTTTAGAGACCCTATAGCTTATCCTCTGAGACATGGATGAGAAAAGACTTCTTCTGTCATGATTAAACTCGCAGGTAGTCTCTTTGTCTGTGATGAGGTTGTGTCTTTATCTCAGAGTCTAAAGATTTTTTTCATTGATCTTCCGATAAAGTGTGGTCACATTTAGTATGTCTGATGGTGCTTTGGATGCCACTCACTCAGCTTCCTCCTGGCGCTTTCCTTCCTTGTAAATAACCAGTCTGTTCATGATATGACATTGAAAAACCCTTGCTTTTTCAGTTATCCTGGATTATTTGGGAAATTAGTGTCAGTCAATATCTATTTTATGTCTCAGTAAGAATATTAAATACATTCTTTACCTAACAAATTGTATATTAAGTTTTCTTATTTTTCATAGGCTAAAAATTATTCAAACCTGTTTTAATTTGTATCTTCACAAAACTTTTTACACTCTCACCAAATTCCAGTTTGGTCTGCTCACTGTGTTCCACTTTTATTATTGTCCAAAGACCTGCTGGTACTGCGATGTTGAGGTGTCTGTATGTTCACATGCTGTTTAAAATGTAAGTGGCCAATTTGCTTTGTTTATTCTAGAATGACCAGATGTTTGCAGGACTGTGCCACATCTTTTACTTTCGTCCCCATGTCTCTCAAATTAAAAAAATATCCTGCATTTCACTGGATTATATTGTGAAAAGTAGAAAAAAAATCATAAAATAAAGAAATAAATACAAATGTATTTTTATTTTCTTAGATGTAAAGAAAGCAGAGCTGCCATCATTGTCACAAAGCAGCACTGGCTGTCAATCAAAATATAAATGCTGCGCCACACGACATGACCAGCTTCTTTAAATAGAATGGAAAGGCCTAACAATTTTAATATACCCCAAATGTTAAGAAAAAGGTTCAAGGAAAAAATTGCAACTACATCAGTAAATGTGTAAAAAAAAAACTCCCAGAATAACAAGCCTTAACTAAAACCATTAAAGTTAGCCACATTTTTTTTTTTTGTATATGGAGTGGAGCGCAATGGAAAGAAATGCTGTACAAGTGAGTTGCACAAGAAACTTGTAAAAGTCGTGCATGTCCCTGATAATGTCCCATATTTTATATAGATATAGATATTTATATTGTTATATAGATTTGGTCCCCCTAGTTTATTCTAACCTTTTATGCTTCTTTTATTTCGTTTTTAAAACTGAACATCTACAACTTCGTGCGACTTTGGTCTGTCAGAATGAAGAATAAATATACATGTAAAAAAAAACAAAAAAAAAAAAAACAAATAGTATGCTATTAAATGCACCTTGAACCTCTATTTTCTGTCATGCTTATCCCTGCTGGGGTCGTGAGGGGTGCTGGTGCCTTTCTCCAGCTGTCTACGGGCGAGAGGCGGGGTCCACCCTGGACAGGTCACCAGTCTATCACAGGGCAACACAGAGACAAACAGGACAAACAATCATTCACACACACTCACACACACACTCACACCTAAGGAGAATTTAGAGAAACCAATTAACCTAACAGTCATGTTTTTGGACTGTGGGAGGAAGCCGGAGTACCCGGAGAGATCCCATGCATACACAGGGAGAACATGCAAACTCCATGCAGAAAGACCCCGGGCCGGGAATCGAACCCAGAACATTCTTGCTGCAAGGCAGCAGTGCTACCCACTGCGCACATGAGCATGTGACTTATAATTAGGGCTGAACGATTTTCCCAAAAAGCAAAATTGCAATTATTTTAAACAAAAATTGCGATTGTATTTCGATTTCTGACGCATAGCCTCTGCAACCATCAAATCTGTCTCTGTGCGCGACCACAGTCCCCCCCTGCGCCATTGTTGTTTTGGAAGATAAACCCCACACACCGGCACGCAAGTTCTTGACTAGGCTCCCCCTAGCGCTTTAGCGGGAAACTGCTGTGATTCCCTAGAAATTCCAGGCCGATGGTGCAGAAGCATACCAGCAAAGCTTGTTCACGACCAGACCCAGGCAACATTTGATCTGTGCGGTTGCAGAAGTATAATCTGCCCTTAAGCTTATAGATGTTTCAACCCAAGCTTTCAGTTTTTGAAAACTTGCTTAAACACAGTCCATTGGTACAGGACTTCACTGTAACCATTGTGTTAAAAAGCATTGATTTCTGCTTGCATGCATGGATCTGCCTGCTAGCTGCTACGCTCTCTACCTTTCTGTGTGGTATCAAACCCACTTTAAGCGTTTTACCTCCACCTAAAGGACTGTAGAGCGAAATTTAGTCTCTTACCCCTGCTAAATATAGTTTGATTTAAAATCAGTGCCTCTGCTATTTAATAATTGTGTTTTGTTAAATTGTGATTATATTGCAAAGACAATGAATTGCCCAGCCTTAATTATAATTAAAAAGCAGCCCATATCCAAGCGTGACAAGGTACATATTTCTTCTCCAAGATCTGTTGGCTCTCATCATTATTAATTTGTTTTATTTTCAGTATTTATCTTTTATTTCTTTAATGTGCAAGAGATCAAATTATTGCCCTTTTTTAATATTTGTAAGTAAAAGTGTATTTAATAAAATAAACACAAATCCTATACTGGAGACTGATTCGAAATGCTACCATAGTGCAAATGGATGGCAGAATCTGTCACTATTTATAATCATGTGTTTTCACTAAAGAATAACCTTACATTACACAAGTACTTATAATCACTACCCCATACTGATATAAAATGGTAGGGGTTACTGATAAATTGAAGGATAACATTTTCCTCCTATTACAATCTGATTTTGAAGTGCTACTCACCGCATGAGTAGCCTGCTGTAAGAATATTTGGAGCAATTACTCTTTTAATATCACTGTTTCTCACTATGTTGGGAGGGCTGTGTATTTCTTTTTTGTAAGAAATTAAATAAATCGATAATTTGAAACAAACCTGAACCTAAACACATGAATTGTCGTGAGTTTCATAAGATTTACTTCAAATATGTTTAATTGGATAAAAATTCTAAACAAATGCATATTTTAAAACATGCTTAAAGATGTGTTTCCATGACAACATAGAAAAAAGGGGAAGGGGAAGCGAAGGGAAGACACAGTCAAGCTCGGAGGCTGCAATGGGAAGCAACCGACAGTAAGCCGGGAGATTTCTACAGCCAGACTCTCTTGGCAATGTTAGCCAAGTATTTAAATCCTATGCTGTCAGCCTCCTAGACACCTAAAACACACACTATATATATATATATATATATATATATATATATATATATATATATATATATATATATATGGTATAGACCGAAAGTTTGGACACACCTACTCATTCAAAGAGTGTTTTTTATTTTCATGACTATGAAAATATTTAAGATCGAAACTAGAGGCATCAAAACTTTGAATTGACACGTGGAATTATATACTTAACAAAAAAGTGTATATATTTTTGTTATTTTTGCCCGGCTACCATTCATTCATCCTGTCCACTGTACTGCTGCTAGTTTTACTCACATGACTGGAAGATGTCTAGTGCTACTACCACAGATGATCTCGCTCTCAAAATGGACTTGAACGATTCAGATTAGCTAACCGAACGAATATAAGGGGTAGAGCGTAGCCGCCTGTGGCCCGCGCTGCCTTTCACAACTCCAGTCCGGCGCATGCAGATGACGTCATACACACTCTGCTTTGTTTTAAAAAATATATAAATATATCAAATATAACCGCAGATGTCTAGGGGACAGTGATTCACCTACATGTATGAATGCTGGCGTACCATAAAGAATAAATTATCAACAGTTAAGCTTGTGACTTCAACTCGTTGCCCATAGGAAGACGTTACTTGGATATAACACAACCGAATATCTTCAGAACAGCTTCAAATGATACAAAACTAATGTGGGTGAGTAGAACATGATGTAATAGCTTAAAATCAAGGGGCCAATGTAAAAAAAAAAGCGGACGGGTCTTTTCAAAAATTCGGCAAAATCCTCCACTATAAAATTGGTTCCTGGAATGTTTTACCAAATTGTAGTCTTGTAATAAAAATTTAAGATTTGTATTTATTTCTCCTTTGCCCTTCATACCACTTTTTAAACAATTTAGGTGAACATTTGAGTTGTGTTCATTTTAAAAAAGCTCATTTAAAAAAAACACGTGAGCCTAATTCTTGTTGCTTAAAAATGTTTATTACTTTTGTGTAACCCTGCTTCATCAAAGGAAGGGTGAGGTTTCCAAAAGCATTAGAACCCATCTATTTTAAAAAGGAAATAGACTTCTGAATGCCATACATTGAAAAATATTCCTGGATGGAAAGCGAAACATCTTCAAACTTGGAAACTAAGTCCGACTATGACCTGGATGTCTGAGAATCTTCACCAGCATACTTCTGAATGCATCCATGTCTCTAAGTGGTTAAATTGACATGCTCAGATTTGTTTTTTAGGATATATTTGGCTTACTTCCACCATCTTTAAAATGTCAAGAACCTTTTCAGCTATGTAGTACTTTGATAAAGGGAGATATATTTCCACTTTGAAATTTGAAGAGCAATTCAAGTTATCCTCTTATTTATTAATATTGCTCTCACTTTTTCCAGTTCGGGAACAAAACAGTGGCCCAAGTCGCCTGTGACGTGTTTCAGCTGCTGATCTCTCACTGGGAACATCTCCAGAGGCTGGACCCTGCTCTTCCAAAGGAAATCATTGAGGTATCACACGTAGATCTATAAGGATTAGAAAATACTGCTTTTTAATGAAAGTAGTTCATGTTTTTTGTTCTGTTTCGATTTCATGTAGTCCACTTTGAAATTTCTTGCTACTGAAGTGTGCTATGTAAATAAAATTACCTTGGCTTAATCAGTCATTTATATTTTTGCATGTAAATACTCCTAATTGAACTATTTACTTTCATTTTTGTGGGCAGCTATGAATCTGCCTCTGAACAGGAGAGTATAACAATGGATGTGTCATCCAATTATTTTTCACCTTGTTTTGTCCCAATGCAGATCTTTGTGGCGACAATAGCCTTTTTGTTGCCAAGCGCAGAGCACTCAACTGTGGAAGCAGAAAAAAAGGTACATCTATAGATCTAAAGGCCCTTGATCTATCCTATTGGAATGGGCTGTTTGCAGAGGAATGTTTTTACTGAAGTGTTTGTTTTGCTTCGCCTTTATCTCCCTAGAGCACTCCAGTCATATTTCTTCTTTGTAGTATTATTGGACACGAGTATAGGTGCATTTTAGTTTATTAGAATATCTTAAAAATGTGTGTATATTTAGATTCAAATCAAAAACTGGAATAATGAAAAACAGAAAAGAGTGTATTTTAAAACGCAGAACGGCAACAATGTGGCCTAAAACAACCATGCTGGAAAACTGCTATTGACATATTCCACAACAAATATGGACTTAGTTTTACAAATGTAGAGCTATATGTGTATATATTTTTATCTTTTTTTTTAATCTTTATTATCTTGTGTAGTTGGATGTGTATATATAAATATATATATAAACTGTAACTGGAGCGTGTAACAAAAGTAATTTCCCTCTGGGATTATTAAAGTATTTCTGATTCTGATTTTGAACAAGGGTAATCTACAGAAGGTCCTTTATGAAGGAGGAGGTTGTTTAGAGTGCTGATTCCAAGTGTGGGAAAGGAGAGTTCAGTGAAGGGAAAAGTCTGATTAAAAAAAATACACAAACAGCACTGGTACAAATTACTTTGTGAGGTTTGTTAAACAAATGCATGCAAAAGAAACCTATTATTATATGAAGTTTTTAAGCTATAAAGTGTAGGCCAGGGGTGGGCAATTCCAGTTCCTGAGGGCCATTATCCTGTCGCTTTTAGATGTGTGTTTGGTTCAACACACCTGAATCAAGTAATTAGATGACTGGGTGGACTTTGGAGGAACTTGCTAAGTTTGAATCCAGCGGCTGCGTCCTGAGAAGGACAGATTTGTTGGTCATAGTGCGGCGCAAGGCCTTTTCAGATGGGAAGACTCCTCGTTATGCCGCCGAAAAATGCAGCCTTCTTTTTGCCCATTTTGAAGGACAGGTCCGCTGTGTCCTACGCAGCCTTGGGTGTCCGATGATTCATTGCGAGTCCAAGCAAACTCTGTGCTCCGATGTAAAAGGTAAATGTTTCCAAACAGGGGTGAATATTGGAAGTGCAGTTTATTATAATAAAAGTGCGGGAACAGTTCCATCCGAAGTAAAAGAAAAAACTTGTTTTTAAGTGGTTATTGAGTCAGATATGTGGCAAGTAATGTTTGGTTTATTGAAAGGTTTTATCTCTCCCTGTGTATATGGCTGACATCAAACCTCGGATTCTTATAACTTTTTCTCTGTGGGGAGTATAAATCTGTTATTTAAGATGACGGCACCCCTGTTGAAGCTCCTCAAAATGTTATTAGCACAACAAGTTTGGTATCCATTCCTTGCCTGCTTTGTGTGTCAACTGTCATGGTTGCTAGGCGAAAAAGCGTATGGATAGTGAATGCATGGACCTTGAAGAACCCAGTCCAGGCAGACCGGGTCCAAACACACCCACTGACTGTATACTGAGTAGGTAACTGACCCCTTTGATTCAGGTGCGTTGGACCAAGAATGGATCTAAAAGTTGCAGGATACTGGCTGCCAGGGACTGGAATTGCCCAACCCTGCAGTAGGCCATACTGTGTTCTAGCAAATCAGGAATATAATCATTGATTTTTCCTTTTTCTTTTTCTAAAATTAAGTATGGATAAAAAATAACAATGAACAAATGTTTAATTATCCAGACTTCTCCTTCTTCCATTTTCTAAAGGGCAAATGTCTCATGACTCCTAATTGATGCAGTAGATTTCCAGTTGAATAAAATTAATATGACATCCTTAATCTTTGATTTACCAAATGATGCAAATAGTTTGACATGTTTTGCATCACTTCTTTTTATTTTTCTTCAGAAATTGAAAGCTCTCATAAAAAAAAAAAATAAGTAAAAATGGGCCATTTTACTTTCTGTTTGGTTTTTAGATGGCACTAACTAGAGGTTGAACAGGACACACTGTTCTTGAATGGGATCTTTAATGTGAAATTAATGCAGAAATTTTGGGGGAATTTTGCAAACAAAGATACCAAAGTATAAACTATGCTCTAAAAATCTAATCTACAATCTACACACAGGACTTACCTGAGAGGTGATATCTAGACTGAATATAAACAGAGGAATTACATTGCACCTAAGTTTTAAAACTAGGGATCAGTTTTATGAATATTTGCATCTGGGAGTGGCGGCCTAGTGGTTGGGGTATAGAGCTTGGAAACCTGACGTTCTGCGTTCAAGCCCCACTCTCATAGATTGCCACTCTGGGTCTCTGAGCAAGATCTTTAACCCCACACTGCTCCCTGGGCACCGCACGATGGCAGCCCACTACTTCCCAAGCGGATGGGTTAAATGCAGAGAGTGGATTTCATTGCTCTGTACTTGAAAGTGTACTGACAATAAAAGCTGGAGAAAAAAAAAAGAAATCTGTTGTTGAGTTTGCAGCCAAAATGATGTGACTATTCCAGTATTTAAAGGTTAACACCTTGAAGGTTTAGAATGTTATGCATTGGCAGTCTTAAAAAAGGTTTGTTTTAGTTTTTTTGTAAGTTAAATCGTAGAAACGTGTAGAGATGCGCCTATAGATCTGTGTTCTGTATCTTATGATGTCTCTCTCTCTCTTGAAGCTAATTGTTTCACTGCTGCTTTGCCTGCTGGATTGGTGTATGGCCGTCCCCCTAAGTCTGCTGCTAGAGCCAATCACCATGTCTTCTCTGGAGCCGCACTCACCCAGCAAGGCCCCGCTTTTGGACTATATCTACAGGGTAGGCACACAAATTATGACACTTTTTTTGGGGGGGGGGGGTTTTCTGGAAGTTTCTCAACCCCTGCCCTCAGATCCAGCAGCCTCAGCTATAGACCCCCCCCCACCACCACCACCCCCACAGGGACACATGGAACTGCAGCTTTAATTACACTCACCTCCACCATGACCTTATAATTATGCCTCATTTAACATTTTAGCAGAGTAACCGTATAGTGTCAGCTGACACAAATGATTGGCATTTATCATATGCAGAAAGCCTTTACAAGCCCACTCTGATCTAGAGTTGATTGCTTAAAAATATGCTAAATATTCAGCATTTCATCTACATATATGTTTTTATCCAACTAACCTTTTTTAAATTTATGGTCTGACCCTGAGGATGAGGGCTTGGCTTCAGGCACAAATGAATGAGGTATTATTCATTCCCTCCTGTCTGGGCAGATGCGGTCAACGGCAGATCTTTGTAAGGATGTCACCCCTGATAAGAAATGGTCCAATTATTCAAACAGGACCTTTTGTCCAATTGATAAGCTCAGGCTCTAAACGCTTGTCCTGGAGATTTGAATGGAATATGTCTTAATATGAGAGAGACTGCAGCTGCTATGAAAGCAATACAATTAGGCATGATTGGTCGTCCATCGGCGCACAAAAGGCACGGCCCCTCTGGGTTTCCATCAGAGGTGTGACAATATTAATGCAGTATCAGCAACCAAAATCTCTCTACATTTCTATGGGCTCGTCGGATTTAATTATTCTGTTTACCAAGCAGAGAATGGCCACCCTAATCTGAGACAGCTTATTTCATTCCATTATTGGCTTTTGTCAGTAACAGGGTGTTTTATACTGCTGTAAATACCGCTTTATATATTTTCCAAAAAGGTTAAAAAAAAAAAGTTGCTGGTTCAGTTTCACATGTGGGGAAAAAAATGGGCGTAAAAAAGTTAATATCGGTGACTAGCAGGATGGTGGTGGCCGTAAAATGCAAAACTGTACTAGACCTTGTCGCTTCATTGGAGTTGTTCTCCATCTGCTCGCTCTCTCCCTGCCTCAGCAGCCAGCTGCACTACCCTGTGTGTGTACATGTGTGCTCCTAAGTAGACGGAAAGAATATCATATCTGCATTTTTGTTTACATACATCTGCCTTCTCGTTATTTGATTTTTGTGTGTACATAGTGTACTCACATCTATGGGTAATATATACGCCCCTGTAACTGTGAGCTATGCTTGTTTATTCTGTATTACCTTCCAGGAACTGTTGCTATGCGAGGTGCACTCACTTACTTGTCAGGCACAGCCGTGCCCCCCCACCCCCCCCCTTTTTTTTTTTTTTACCTCTCGACTGAGGAAGCTCTTTGGGGCTTTGGTGTAGCAGCTGTTTGGTTCAGGTCTTTTCAGCATCAAGCCGCCAATCCCTCCCCCATGCACTCAGCTTGGTAGAAGCATCCACATACTGTCTACATTGCCCTACACAATACTGTTTCACATGGCAGGAGCAGGCTGTCTCTGAATGGGATTAGTCTCTTTTTTTTTTTCTTTTTTGTGCATGGCTTTACTCAAAATGTTCAGGTCCGAATAAAAGGCGCCCTCATCTGCATACATTTAGCATACGTTTTGCTGCGTCTTTTTAATCTCTCAGCAGCTTCTGCTCCATACAGGTGTTTGTGCGTGTATGTTTGTGGTGAGCGCAGAGCACAGGGATAATGTCTTAATTAAATCAAACAGTGTAAACCTGTCCAATGGCTGTAATCAACTGCCCCAGTGCGCCTTATCTAGTGCTGCCAACGGATGCTCTGCCATCTGTTATGTAGATCGATACACTCACACATCAGAGGAGAAATGGATTACTGGCAATAAAGACCCTGTTTTCTCCACAATCCACCCCCCACCCCCCAACTCTACATCGCCTTATGATGTAAATAGACTATGCCCCCCCCTCCCAAACAACAAACACATTCACCCACTTCAGGATCTTCTCTGTCCAAAAAAAGGTCTGCAGAAGCATCTCTGCACAGATGCTATCTTTGCACTGATGTTGAATTTAAGAGATCAAAGTGAAGCTTGGTAAAGAAAACCCAACAAGCGCACCTCTTCTGGTCGTCTTTAACCTCTCTTTTTTCTCTGTGTTCCATTAATCAGGTTCTTCACTGCTGCGTGTCCGGCTCCAACCTGCACACCCAGCAGAGCCACTACCTCCTCAGTCTGTCGGACTTGTCCAGCGATTACGACCTGATGCTGGGTCAGGTTAAGAGCGTCGAGCCCACACCCTCGCAAACAACCACAGCAGACTTTGGAAACCTGTTGACGGTAGCTGAGGGTAAGGATACAGGTCAAGAGCCAGAATAAAATCCCACAACATCGATGAAAAATACAACAGCTTTGCAGCACTGAAAATAAGTGTATAACAGAATAACATGACATGAGTTAATAGATTTAATTTAAAAAAGACACAGCTACTGCTATTGCTACTGCTGCTAATTAATTTAGAAATTATCATTATAATTTATATAATGAATAACTATAATATATTGACAATTCATCTAGCCTATTAGGAAGGCCTTTTAGATTAAATTCTTTATATTTTGATTAACTGTAGTTTTTGCAAGAAAAGGTTTGAAGTTCATAATAATATTAAGTAATCCTGAGAAAGGTTTTAAGAGGCTAAACATTTTAACATTAGATCTTGGATCTGATTTTGGTCTAGTCTGACCCTTAGTTTGTTAAATTTTTCAACCTTCTCTTTATGTTTGAATGGTTGTGATTGTTTCTGTATTAATTTTATTTCTGACAAAACTAAAAGCATCCTGATTCTGAAGCCATGACATGTTCAGGTAGGTAAGAAATTCAATTATATTAAATTCAGTTTATTTATATAGCGCTAATTCACATCACATGTCATCTCAAGGCACTTTACAGTTCAAACTGATTCAAAGTTTTCTATCTAAAGAAAACCAGTTGATTGCACTAATTAACTTGAAGGCAATCCCTCACACTAAGCATGCTTGTAGTGACCATGGAGAGGAAAAACTCCCTTTTAACAGGAAGAAACCTCCAGCAGAACCAGGCTCAGTGTGAGCGGCCATCTGCCGAGACCGACTGGGGTTCAAGGAGACAGAAGTAGAGATACAAACGGCAACTGTAAACCAGCTCCACAAGCAGCCCCGTCCAGCAAACATTTAGCCAGGCAGACGAGCTCCGAGCCAGCTCCCATGTCAGAGGATGAAGAGAGCACATCCAGCCAGTCACAGTGAGCGAAACAGGACTACACTGAAAAACAGGCCGATCTCAACATCTACAAAAAAAGGTGTTGATGGCAGCAGCACAGCTGATATTTCTTTCCAGAATGGTGTCACAACCAAACAGGAACAGACGAGGCGAAGCTACTATGAGAAAAAACAGAGAGAGCATAACGTTAGAGATTGAACTAACAGATTCTGCAGAGTGGGAGAATAGAGATAGAATGATGAAATAGGGTTCCTATGTCCTCCAGCAGTCTAAGCCTATAGCAGCATAACTATAGAGATAGTTCAGGATAACCTGAGCCACTCTAACTATAATTAAATCATTTTCATCAGACTATTCACTTCCAGCTTCCTAGACTCAGGAAAGTCATGTTCAATAATTTTAATACTAAAAAAAAAAATCAGTTTGTGAATTTTATAATAGATGCTGAAATTACAGTGACAGTATATTTTGTTATGTCTACATTAGTTAAGTTTCTTGAAAAATGAATGCTACTATTTTTAAATCCATACATTTTTTTAGAGGGATCGTTTTTTAGAGATGGAGGAAAGAAATTCTTTAGGAGAATGCACCTGAAAAAGTTACAGCATGTAAGCAAAGCTGCTTAGGCGCATCCTACAACTTTTTGAAGTCAAGGTCTTAACACTAGCTGCATTATTCAAATGTGCAGTGCACCAAAAGGTTGTAATTAGGAACGCAAGTTATCAATTAATTTATCTAAAGTCGATTGATCTTGTCAATCATTAATAATAGTTAATTGAAAAGCTGACATTTTCATAAAAACCTGAATTTTCTGTTGTATCATGATGTTTTTTTTAATATGCTGAATTGGTAAAAAAGAACATAGTTATATTTTAACGATTATCCATGTCAACTGTATTAACTACTGACAGAATAAACAAAAACAGTCTTTCTTACACATTATAAGACTTATTTATGGGATGGTTACTGAATAAAAAATGAATAAAATATGTGATATAAAGAGACATAAAACTAATAGACAGGATATGTCGCTCTGACATGCTGTCAAACCATTTGCCAAATGAAGTGTATGTCACACTGTTATATGGTTGTCTGTTTTTAGTGTAACTCTGTATTCAGTGCTATGAAAAACTGTTATCAGCTCTTTAAAACAAGGGGTTCTGGTTGCTCTGAGTCTGTCAAGGGTTAATATTTAGAAACAGAATCGCATTTTGACATTTAAAATCCCAAATTGGCCCCTTAGGTGAATCATATCTGACTGGAGAAAAAAGTAGGAGGTGGGATAGGATCTTGGAGTCATCCTGCAAATAGGTTTATGACTTTTCTTACACCAGAGAGTGAGCTGAGAACATGTTTGCACCTGAAGGGAGCCTCAGTTTCAATAAGATGTTTCCCTTCTTGGCGCTACAGCATTAAAATATTATAACGATCACTGCCACCAGATGGAATGAGCTGATCAGAGCGGGTGATATAAGGTGACCTAGGTGCAGACAACTGTTATAACTGTGATCTGGATGTTTGGACAATTGCCAGTCTAAGTATTAAAGTGAGACGTATGTTAGCCTTTGACTTACTTTACTTCGCTTGCAAGTCTGGGTTTCAAAACACAGCAGTGGACATGCGCTGCGTTCTACCTGGAATGCCCATTGGCATCAGCTGTGTCCTCAGCTGTCTCTGGAGTCACAACTTGTCTGATTTTCTGTTATTTTTTATTTTGTTTTTTCCTCCAGCTTCTGATTGGTAGGTTAATGCAAAACTTTCTTTGATTTCTTCCAAAGTAATGCCCATTCTACATCCCATACTAAAGACCATCTTTACATTTCTTTTAAACAAAATTCTGAATTTTCATGGCGTTCAGCAGTCATGTAGACTCTGTAATCTGCCTTATCTGTCCATATAAAGGAATTCAAAGGATTTTAATGGGGTCGCCAATAGATGGGATATTCATGAAAGTTAAGTTTTTGTTCTTCCAGAGTTAAAATACCTGCTTTTTTTCATACCTTTCTGCCAACAATAAAGCAAAATGTCTGTAGGTGTTGCAACAGCGAGTTGCAGTTTAGCTAATAACATTAATATTGTCATCACGTTGTCGATAAGTGTTTCAATCTACTTCTTTAAAGGATGTCTACAAATATTGAGAGGGAATTTATTCTAATATAATAAACATGAAAATTGATTTAAAAAGAGGGAATTGCTGGAATTATTGGAAATAGCTTGGTGATACAGAACGCCTTTTTAAAATAGTGAGATTTAAAAAAAAAAAAAGTGAATGACAAGAAATGAATCCCTGATAAAGTATATCCACTCTACATCCACACTGTCCGGTATCTTTGCTTTGTTATTCTATTACAGACGTCAGGGATTAGCTGACCACAGTCTGAATCCGGACCCACCGGCTAGCTAATCTGGGCTCGACCTGATTTAAAACATTTATAAATTACCACATGTTGTCTGATGGCAGTTTCTAATTTGACTTGCGCCATTTCTCCTGTTTGTATAGTAATGCCTTCTGGAGTGTCTGAGACCAGGCTACAAGTGATACAAATTAGCCAATGAGCTGTCAGTCTGGGTTGCTGCTGCTGCTACTTTTAGACACAGCAGGCAAAGCTGTGGTAAGCCGGGTGATGGGAAAGAAGGAGATGATGATGAGAAAAAGTGAAAGAAAGTGTGGACTGCTGGAAGAACTGCGGTGAACTGGTGACAGAAAAGTAAAATGGCGTGCTCAAAGATGACCCTGCACATTTTGAGTATGTTTGGCTCAACCTACTACTGTGAAGCAGGATTCTCCACCGTGAACATAATTAAAAATAAATATCCATCCAGACTCAAAATGAGCACCTATGTGCTTTAGAATGGCTTTGTTGCCATTCAAGCCCAAGTTTAAAGCCTTGCAGTGCAGCCTAAAGCCCACTTCGCTCGTTAAGACATAAAAAAATATATCAAACGGTCAGTTGAGGTGTATTATAAATTATGTGAATCAGGAAATTGTCTATATACCAAACTGAACGATTGTTGTTCTCTACTTAAAGCTAGCGTGGTGTATAAATCTGTCTTATGGAACAGAGCTCAGCACTGTTAACTGATCCAAGCTTGTAACGGATCGGTTTTCAGAGGGTTGTGCAAATGGGGCTATAGTAAACAGTGGGGCGACAGTGGCGTCGGGTGTAGGAGTTTGCCCTGAAATGCCTTCTGATGGTGGTCAGAGCGCCCGGTGGCGCCACTGTACGGCAGCCTCGCTTCTGTCAGTTAGCTCCAGGGCAGCTGTGGCTACAATGTAGCTTGCCACCATCAGAGTTTGAGTGTGTGCGTGAATGGGTGAATGATTGAATGTAGTGTAAAGCACTTTGAAGTCCCCTTACTTGAAAAAGTGCTATTTAAGTACAGGCCATTTACCATTTTAGACTCCATATTATAAGAGTAAAGTAGAAGAGAAATCCGGAGATGTTTTAAAACAGCCTTTTTGGGGGGTCTTCTTCAAGCCATTTAATTGTCATGTTACATAAACAGCCTAGGAAGGAACTACTGTATGGTAATCCTTCCTCCTTCGTACAGTTGGAGAAAACATTTGCATAACCATAAATGTTAGCGTATATGCTACAGAGGGTGCAAACTAGCATTTAGTCGTTCTGGTCTGCAGCAAATGAGAATGAATGCCATCCTCTCTACTCTAACGTTCCCCTTGGGGAAAAAAAAAGATCCAAAAATGGTTACAGGTAAAAGCAAACTCTAAGGAGTCCGTCCATTTGGAGGCTCTCCATTAGATGTCAATATCTTATTAAAAGTATGAAAAGAAAACCAGCCATCAGAGGAAATGGAATTTTTGCATTAGTGCTCAGCCGTAAAGAAAAACCCATTATTGGATTTAGATAAAAAAAGTTGATTTTTTTTTTTTCTTTTTTATGACCTTGTGATTCCATTAGGCAACATCGTCATCCCTCCGCCTCATGACCTCAACATCAAAAAGTCATCAAAGCCCGAACACAGAGTGCCGACGTCCTCTGAAACAATGTATTGTAGTAATAAGAGTATTTTCTTTTCTGCAAAAAATTTCACCACACCTCTGCTTTTTGGTGCGTTGCAACACAGAGTTTAGGTAGAAATAACAAAACACTATCAAAAGGGCAAACCAAAGAGTGCCGGCCTAGTTATATTCATGCCCTCACCTCATATTGATCAAGTCGCATCAAAGGACCAGCGCATCCCTAATGCAGCTTGGCCTGCTCTCTAAAGAGCTTTCTTCACTTTGATGAGGGATGATGGTATTGATGGCACTGTCACAATGCAAAAGTGCATCTTCTTGTTTTTTCCCGCATCACTGCAGAATAAAGCGCTGCATGCCGTTCACATGGGGAGCAAAACCCTGCGTATTTACATAAATGCAATCCACAGTGCAGAGTCCTATTCAGCAGCCTGTAAAGACGCTCGTTCTCATTAGCACCTGGCCGCTCTCAATGCTTCTCTATTGTAGGAAGACTCAAAGGGCTTTTTAGACTTGTCTCTTATGATTAGACTCTACCTACTTAGAGGTGTGCACATTTTATTTATTTCTCACAAGCTATTGTGAGAAATAAATAAAACACCACCTTTTAGTGAACATAAATGAGATTTAGCTTTTTGTAAAAGGAGCTAATAGAGATGATGGCATGTCTGCACACAAATATCGAGCTTTTTAAATTCTGTGTTGAGTAGAATATGTTCTAAAGCAGCCAATGTTCGATCTGGGTACTCTAATGTGTTTTCCCTCTACTATTATCTCATTATTTTAAACCATATCCCTTTTCTTTTTACTCCTCACAGAAAAGCGTCGTCGAAACATGGAGCTCATCCCTCTGACGGCGCGGGTAGTCATGACTCATCTGGTGAACCATCTTGGCCACCATCCCCTTAGTGGCGGTCCGGCTCTCCTTCACAGCCTTGTGAGCGAAAACCACGACAACCCGTACGTGGAGTCGTCTGAGTTGTCCTCCGAGGTCTTTAAAAGCCCCAACCTACAGCTGTTTGTCTTCAACGACAGCACGTTGGTGTCCTACCTGCAGATCCCAGCAGAGATCCCCACTGCAGGTCAGCCCCCGCACCCTTCCTCCCAAGTTCGCATAATTGTCCGAGACATTTCGGGAAAGTACTCTTGGGATGGGACGATCTTGTACTGCACCACGCAGGAGGACTCTGTTAATGTGGGGGTTTTCCATCCAGTTGATCCACCTATTTCAAAAACCCCCAGTGCACACAGCAGAAGCCAGCCAGCCTCTCCGCTTAAAGGACATTTCAAAACTCCCTGCTCAGCCTCAGAATCCCTCTCTTCCTTCTGTGAAGAAGATGAGGTTGATGTGCTGGACAAGCTTTTGGAGGAGCTCAGCCACAGCAGCCCAGAATGCCTCCCTCAACCACAGCTCAGGCTCAATCAGCCAGCGCCTTCGCCTCATGGCATGAACTTGGAACAAGAGAACGCTATATTGGAGGCCATTCTCCATCAGACTCAGCAGGAGGAGGAGCAAGTTAAGAAGTGGGATGCTGATTTGAGCTTTCGGGCGGCCTGTCAGAGAGAACCCTCGCACCAGGAACCCAAATCTCCTTTCTACTTCTGCAGACTGCTTCTCAATGATCTGGGCATGAACTCATGGGATCGCAGGTATTAACTAATTAACACACTACAGTTTTATACAGAGAGCAAGCAATTCATCAGTCGGAAATCAAATTTAGTTTTCCCTTCAGCCAGGCATGCACTGTATGATTTTTGCCCCTTGCGGGCCGATTCTCCAGTCGTGTGAGTATTTTTCGATCAGACTGAATGTCAGCCTGATCGTGCGTCGTATAGGATACGGGGGGGTAACGTGGGACAATCAGCCTCTCACGACCATCTTCAGATCAGGAATCTGAATTTTAGGGCTTTCAGCACACATAATTGCAGAAGTTAGCAAGACAGCGCGTCTCACTCTAGTGAGGCCATCACTGCGGAGCTGAGTCCAACGTGGTTTTTAGATGTACAGACAGTATGAGAACAAACATCGTAAGCTCTGAACTTTTAAACCCTGCAGTTTCGTCGTACAGTGTGAGCTGTAGCTGCATGCAACGATTGAAAAAAATCGTACAGTGTATGCACGGCTTTAATAGACAGATAGGCGGCTCTCTGGCCTAATATCGTTTATTGAGGATGTTCATCGAAATAAGGAAATTCCACCATTTTAAATAAATACAACCAACAGAATGTGCTTTCAATGCAATTTATTAATTTAAATAAAATCAGGAAAAGGAAATGGGAAAATGTGGATAATTTTCAATAACTTTCAAAACTACCAGATCTATTAAAAACCCTCAATTATGTTTAATTCCCCCTTCATGTTTTCAGGTCCTTGGGAGAAAAGAAATCTGAACTTTTAAACCCAAGAAAGAATCTGTATCAACTGTGATTAGATAGGTGTGCCTCTCCTTTTTATAGGTAAATTGTTAAATGTAGATTAAAATTGGAAACAATAGATAAAAAAAAACAGCTGTTTAGAGTTTTTTTTTCTTTTTGGTTCCTCTGCTTTGTTGGGTTTGTTTTTTTACATTTCAAATAAAGGTATTTGATTTCCCATTTTTATCATCATCAAGAAATCAATCGTTTGAACTTCTACTATCGAATAACTTTTATGAACTGACAAGAACCTTTTCAACATTCAACCCAACATTCAGAAGACCAAAATACAATCTATATAAAAAAAAAACAGTGAAATGCATTTGGGAGTTTTAAAGTTTAGATGGTCCTACAGAGATTACTAAAAGAAAAAAATGTGATGCACCATCAGAAGTAGGAATAGGTTGGTGGAGCATATTCTGAGAAATAACAGTAAAAAAAATCTATTCTGAGTGATTCTGTTTCTAAATCTGCAAATTGAGATTTAAAGTAGCCACTCAGTGGTATAAAAAGTTGATTCTGTGTTAAAAATGTTGATGACGTGATATGAAGTTCCTGTGATTTTGCAATAAAATTATGCTGCAGGACTTACCAGGTGGTTCTTACTTATTAGGAATCAATAGCCTTATTTTTATTTTTATTAAATACCTACATTTATTAACAGCACTAAAAGCTGTGCCACGACTTTAGTTCCTAATTACAAAAACTTTTGATGAAGAGCTTTTACAACCTTAAAATATTTTGAGAATTTCCACTACATTTCCACCCTTTGGTCTCACCTGACTGAAGCATCTTCTTAGCCTTTTTATTTTATGTGTCCCTAATATGACTTGCTACAAACTGTAAACTGGATTCCCTTTGGCTTCCTTTTTAAGAATGACTTTCTCCATTCCTCTCCTCCATATGTCAGATTAGCTGAGGCCAGATTGTGCCATAGTCTCTCCATCTGCAGACTGAAAGAGTTTTAGAGTGCATCTAAAGAAGGTCTCATTAAAGGATATTCTTGTTAACTTTATTTTTAGTCGGGGCCCTGTCACACCATGCCAATTTAGACAGCGCATGCCCAAAGTCCCAGAATCTCCTAAATGCTGGCATATCCTGAACTTTCTATGTATTTTTTTTGGGGGGCATATTTTATCTATTAATTTTGGGCGTATACATAGAGTATTCATTATGTGTCCAAAACTTAGGTCCCACGACAGCCTAACGTATGCATAACACCCAGTCTACATAAAAAGATGTCTTTAATCGTGGTAGTAACCTAGCTGCGGTTTACCACCCCACCCCCCCAAAAAAAAAAAAATTAAGAATACACAAAAAGAAAGAAGGAAAAAAAGGAAAGAAAGAAGATTTGCAGTCACAGCAGATTCAGCGTCATGTCTGATACACTTAATGTATGTCAACGATCAGATAACCTTAACGGTCTAAATCGTCAAGGTGTGACAGGCTTTAGTGCTTTGCAAGGCGCTGTCCAGTGCTGAAGTTTGTACATTATCCCTTGGAGTTTCTTTGTAAATACTATTTAACTCAGGTCTTTTAATGCATTCCCTTTTATCTTATGGGCATCTGCTTAGTCATGGAACATTGCAGAATATAGTTTTGTGGCTAAGAGAATATATCTGAAATATTTGCACATGTGAGACGCAACTGTAGAAACTCAGCTGTTTGCTTGTTGGTTAAAGAGGGTGAAAACTAAGGGCACACTGGAGTCTGTTGGGTCTTAATCTCCTCTCCACAGGGTAAAAGTGCCCAGCTGTTTTCATCAACGTCTACAAAGCCACATCTTTGTGCTGCTGCCCTGTAAATTAAAAGCTTACACCTCTTAATAGTGATGGTGCAACAGGCACATAGCAAATAGGAGATTGTATTTTGCACCTGTGTCTTTTTTCTTTTCTTTTTTTTTTCACTTTAGTAACTAACGCAGCACCTCAACTTTGGCGAACAATGTGTTTGCATATAGGCAGTGGCTTTTTTTCACTGGTAACCTGATAGATAGATGATGATAGATGAATATTTTTTTTCTCTGTACTTAGTTTGACCTTACTTGTTTTTGTTGCACAGAAAAAGCTTCCACTTACTGAAGAAAAACTCCAAACTTTTAAGGGAATTGAAGAACTTGGACTCCAGGCAGTGGTAAGTTGTTTTTTATTCGCAGCCTCCAGTAGAAATTAGATTAATTTTCGTCAGACTTGCTGGAGATACCACTGAAAACACAATTGTCTGTAATTCAGTGCCCTTTTTTTCAATCATCCAACTACAGCTGCAGCTTTCTGCCGTACCTGTTTTATCCTGAGCGAAAGCAGCAACACCCTTCCCTTTTTTTCCTAACACCATCATTTTCCTTACTAACCACAACTCTGAAAATCTCTTACCATCACTCTTGTCTCTCTATTACGTTGTCTCTCTTCTCCCAATCAATACGTACTTCCCACACTGCCGATGACAAGAGAGTATTGAAGAATGCTCTCAGGATGGAAGTTTATTCTCTCCGATGGAGCAGATTGTTAGGACAATAACAGTTTGTGCACAAGCATGCAAAGTGCCCCAAAACCCACAGTAGTGCAACGTACTGCCATGGCAACAGGGGAAAATGGTTTGGGCAGAGCTTTTCAGATATCCTTTGTTAAGAGGAGAAATTTTGTAGAAATTTTTGCAAATGTTTTTTTTTATTATTCTTATTGTAAAGTTTTGTTCAATTTATCAGTTTGACTACAGGATTTTCTGACCTCTTATTTTCTCTATATTTTGTGTGTGTGTAGCCGAGAGACTCACAAAATTGCTGTGTTCTACATCGGAGAAGGCCAAGAAGACAAGTGCTCTATCTTGTCGAACAGCGCAGGCAGCCAGGCCTATGAGGACTTTGTATCTGGACTGGGATGGGAGGTAAGAAGAGCTACAGCCTTTAATCAAATTGGATATTTTTGAAGTATGAATTAAAGAGATGCTGCTCGGTGATGCAATGCCTTGCAGCAAGAAGGTTCCGGGTTCGATTCCCGAACTGGTTTCTTTCTGCATAGAGTTTGCATGTTCTCCCTGAGCATGGATGGGTTTTCTCCGGGTACTCCTGCTTCCTCCCACAGTCCAAAAACATGAGATGCCCTGATCTGAAACTTGTTTGTTGTAAAGCTTTCATATGCAAATAGATATTTATACCCCCCTTCAGGTTTCTCCTAAAATCTAAATTGAAAAAATATTTTACTTTACCCTTTCTGCAATGACTGCTGATTAAGAGGCAGGATCACGTCACATATTAGAGAGTGTTCACTGTGAAAGTGGGTTTTATTTAGCCTCAGAATATTTTAAATGCTGCATGATAGACGAAATTTGAGACTCATTGCCTCAACTGGTTCCTAAATCTTAATTTTCCTTCATAAGTTAAATTTTTAAGACCTTTTTATCCTTATTGGCATATTTTGTCTGTATTTCCTTTGTGGTACCACTAAAATGGGTCACTCGTCTCTAAAATGTTGCACGATGACCAGTGGGTCCTCCTGCTGCAGGAGCTCCACTGTCTAAAAGAAACACAGATATCCACCTACACATTACACTATTGTCTTATTATTTAATAAATGTAATAATTTAAATGCCCCTAGATGCTCTAGTTATATAACTTTGAATATTATGTCCAACTGTACACTCAGTTGTCTTTTAATGGTACCAGATCTGTATTTGGACCTGTTGTTACAAGGAAGGTGCAAACACTCACCATTTATTTCCTAAATGTTTAAGACTTATTATTTTACCATATTACCACAGAATTAAATGTTTATATTGATGGGTTTTGGCCTCTTAGTGTCGTGGTAATTCCTTTAATTCCTAAACCTCTTTATGATGCTAGAAATAACCTAATAACTCAGCATCAGCTTCAGTGCTAAGAAGTACAATGTTGTTGCAGTCAGAAAGTTGCGTTCAACGATCAGTGACAGATAAGATTTTGGATTTTGCAGCCACTGCTGATCAACCTGAGACCATCTGATTGCAATCACCAGACCTTTTTGACTGTCTCCACTAAACTTAGCTGTATATCTCCAGACTAAATAATGTTGTACACTTTGCTGAATTCCTTTAGGTGGACCTGGCCACACACTGTGGCTTTATGGGAGGACTCCAAAGGAATGGAAGCACAGGCCTAACAGCTCCCTACTATGCTACCTCCACCGTAGAAGTCATTTTCCACGTATCCACAAGAATGCCATCTGACTCTGATGACAGCCTCACCAAAAAGGTAAAAAAAAAAGTCGTCTTAACTTTTCTAGCTCCTGGTAGAAATGTGGATATCATCGTAATAAAAAGCTTTACATACCTGTTTTTATAAAGATACCAGAGTACAGCTTCTTCCAGACATTAGAGGCGGTAAAACGGCTCTGTAGTAATGCCTGCATAGAGCCGTGTGTTGTGTAGCCTCCACTTCTCTGTTAAGCTGAGATCAGGAGGTGTGACTCCAAAGTACGGGCATTGATTAGTGACCCTGGTCAGGAAGGCCTGAGGAGTAGAGAATCGCAGGCGCGTGTGTGAAGAGAGGGCATGTGCTGCTGTGGTAATGACTATGATTCGGCCAGCTTCTGCCCCCCTCCCTGTGCGCTGTGACCAGGGCCTGGATTCAGCCATTAGCTCTCCCCGCTAGGGCAGGCGCCGGCCGGATGCCGGCAGGATCCTTTTATCCAATTCCTGCTGCCGCCACAGGAGCAATCGATTGGGTTCTGCTGTGGGATTCTGAGCTCTAGTGCAGCGGTAGCAGTTAGCACAGAGAAATGAGCCGCAAGGCCCCTGCCCGCAATGCCAATCTTCTCATACAGTACCCTGCTGGGAAGGGAAATTCATCAGGCTCTCCTCATATCCAACCACAATACTGCTCTCAGCAGACTTTCTCCCTCTTGTTTTATAGAATGGTACTCGACTCATTCCAAACAAATGCTGAAGTTTCTGCTCCCTAAAATTAGAGTTAGAGGGAAGAGTTTCTTTGATCTTTTCCAAAGTGTGGTGTTGAAGTAGTGTGATGCTACTCCATCACCATACATTTCACTAGTAACTTCTGTAATTGCTCTGGCTCACCTTGCTCAGATCCCCACACCAGCCACAGGTCTGACAAAAATTGGCAGCTGGCTGTTGCTGCAAATGCTTTTGAAAAGGAAGACGGGAGGGAGGAGAATTGGAATGAGGAACAGGCTTTGTCTTTGTCCGACTAGGATGCTCCTATGTCAATTTAAAAATAACACTTTGTCCAGCAGTCACCCACTTTACTGGCTGTAACCATAGAAGCAGACCGTGGGGAGGTACGGATGGGGCACTTCTTGCCGTGCAGATCTGTCTTTTTGAAGACGAGAGCACAACAAACCCCGATAAGAACACAGAGAGAACCACAAATTCCTGAATCCAATTGTGGGTTTTAGGGGCAGGGCAAGCTGCAGCAGTAGCAGCTGGCTCCAGTAATGGGGTTATGGAAACGACCTGCAGGGTTGGGGTCAGGCCATGTAGTTCTTAGTGCATGTGTGTGAAAGAGAGTGAGATAGACGGGTGCCTCAGCTATCACACTCACCCCCAGGCACTACAGCTTAACTGGGCTGCTGCAGGTTGTTTTTATAAGGAGCCTCTTTTGTTCTGGAGTCCTCTGGTTTTCTGTTTCCACGTCTGTAAAGCCCAGTGGCTGGATGGGAGGTCAAAGAGGGATAATTGGACAAGAGCCTTTGACTCAAATCACATTTTATTAAAGAAGTCTCAAACATTTGGATGTGATTAATGGGGGGGGGTTAAATAGATTTGTGTAGAAGATGATTTACTAGAGCATAAGCATCCTCATTAAACTTGTCATTCAGCTCATCCAAATGCTAATATCTTAACCCAAATTAACATCCCAGTGTTAATTGTCTCCTGCAAATGCATATTCAACATTTTCTCTGAAATTGTCCCAGTGACTGACCCGGCTGGTACCTGCTGATCCTTGGACAGACAGACTGAACCGGCGAGCTTCAGTAATCAGCATGCCGTGGATTTGTTTAAGATTACCGTATTACCATAATTAAGGGCTTATAATAGAATGTGCTAATTGCATTTTTTGTTGGCAAGGGCATGTTTCTTAATGGCTCATTAGGCCAACAGTACATTGGCAGATGTTTTCTTCTGAGTGGAGGCTCACTTTTCAGTGTCCTTGATAGAAATCCGAAGGGTTGCTTGTTCAACATCACTGGACCTTTTCCAATTTTGTCACCTATGTAGTATAAATTAATTGTATTTCTTTGGGATTTGTTGTAATAGACCAATACAAAGTAGTAAATCCATCAAATTGAAGAAAACCGGGATTTTCAATTTTATTTTTTGTAGCCGGAAAGGCAGAAGGTTAAACTCTGCCCCAGTCTCAAGTTCATCGCCATTCCTGCCAACTGCCAACTTTCAGTTTTGTGACAGAAAAAAAGCCTCCCATGCTGTTATGCTACTTTCACTACCTGATCCGTCCCGGAAGCACGATCCCTACCATCAACTTATTTGTGCAATCCAGGACGCCTTCAATTTTATTTTGTAAAAAATACCTAAATTACGTTTTTCTTTCTGTTTTATCACTCGTCGGAGCAGATAATGGGATCCTACGCTACTTCAGGGATGTAACTTTTTCGGCTTTGGGTTTAAACATAAATATAGTCTTTTTGAGTTTTATGTTTTCCTTTCGTGTTAACATTGTGGTATATAGTGCATACCCTAAAAAGAAAATAACTAAAATGCAGATAAACTTGGTTTAATCATATTTTGCTGGACTGATCTGAGCATGCCTGGTGATGATGTCTGAGTAGTTTAGCTGAGAAAATGTAAAAAGCATCAAAATTGTCTCAGAAAAGTCATAAAAAAACTTTTTTAAAGATGTGTATTAGCATTCATTAGTGAGTTAAGGATATTTTAGTACCATAGTTACATTATTTATGGAAAACCGAATGTGTGTAGGGATGGGGATTGAAAACCGGTTCCTGTTCAGAACTGGTTCTGTGTGTTCCATGGCACCATTTTGTAGCTCGCCTAACGGTTTTCTTAATGATTCCAGGCAGCACCAGAGTCTAGCACTGGGCAGCACGACTTACGTCAAGTTTTTTACACAAGTTACGCACACGGCATTCAGTAAGCAAGTACGACGTGACCAGGCATAAGTCTAGAGAAGCAAAACAAAAGCAGTCAAAGCGATTGAAAATTTGGCTACATTTTAGGGAAGAGAAAGATGGCAACAAGGCAATCATTACAAAGTGACAATAACATCCGGGGCAGGAAATAAATCCAACATGCAGAAACACCTGCCCATACAACATGACATACATTTTAACAAATGCCTTGTTTTCGATACCTTCTGGACAGAAGCTAAAGTTACAACTAGCATGGAAGGCAACTCTGGTGGTAAATAGTAAGTTTTGTATCACTGCCTGTGCTGATCCTAGTAAATCATACGCCATTTTTGGAAATAAACCAATTTCCTACCTCTCTTTGGGGTTATTAAACATGCTACGATGTTGCTCCGCAGTTCAGGGAGCGAGAGAAAGGTGACGCTCATTTATTTAAATCAGTGGGAGATGAGTTTATTTTCCGAAATTGTACAGTAATGCTTTTTCATTAAACGGATGCCTTCTCCATTAGATTTAGATGACTGTGACGAGACGGATAGCCTGGCTGGATCAGAGGCTGGCAGCTCCCGTTCACTGCCTTCTGTTTTCGTGGAGGCAGGCAGAAATAGAACGTCCCAGGGGAAGGTAGATCAATGTCACCATAAATTCACCAAGTTCATTGTTTCGCAGAATCGATAAGGTATCGAATCGTTGCACAAAATCGATAAGGGAAACGGAATCTTGAAAATCTTTTCAATTCCCAACCCTAGATGTATGTTTGAGCGTGCGCAAATGAGCTGATGGTACTGATTGTGCTAAATAATAATATTACCTAATAAAATTACTATAATAATAATAATATTACCTAAGCTGTCAGCTACGATCAGTGTTTCTCAGCGCCGAGAGATGGCGTTGGTCGGAATTTTTTTGAAATTTCTGCTTCAGTCTGATGAAAGGTGTATGTATCCCAGTCGGGTCCGTATGTGATGCGATGGGCAAAAACTCATGCAGTGTATGCACGGCTTTAATTTCTAACAGCATTTTGTATAAAAACCAAAAGTTAGGTCTTGATCTCATCTATTCAGAAAAGGCTCTCCCTATGGTTTGCCATGTTGTTTGCAAACAGTTGCATGCTTTAATGTTGATAAATTGTCCCACCTGAGCTTTAAAGCTCTGTAGCTTCTTCAAAGTTACTGTGAGCCCTTTCTTATTAGCTCTTAGGTGGACTTCCATGTTTTAGTCGGTTCAACTTTTTCTCATTTACAGGTGATTTATTGATCAGAATCCCATGAGAAGCTTTAAAGATTGGGATCATGTTTTGTAACCTAATCCAGTGTTTAATTTCTCCACAACTTTCTCCTTGGCTTGTTTGGTGTGTTTCTTCACTTACAAACCTCTGATACCTTCAAACAACAGCTGTTTTTACTGAGAGATTTGGATTGGATGTATTTATAAATCCTAATTTGAACCCAATTGTTTCCATTGGATTTTATTTAGAGATATCAGATTCAAGGGTTACAGTTTTCAGTTTTTTGCTTAAAGCTTTAAAGAATTCTGTATTTTTTGTTTTAGCTTCACAATCATGCAATGCTTTGTCTGAGCCTATTACATAAAATTCAAATCAAACCCTTCAACTTGTTCTGATTGTAACATGACGAAATGTGGAGTAGGTCAAGGGAGGAGAATACTAAAGCAAATGGGCTGATCTTAACCTGGAAGAGAATATACTGTAACTTTGTTCACCTGTTTGCTTTCAAAAACAGGGGACCTGTTTACCTTTTACAAACTACTGTCAACCTATTTCCTGTCATTTAAGTGTGTCTTCTTGTCCAGCCCACTTTCATTTGTGTTCATGAATAGAGTGGAAATGGGAAGCAATTTAAGCTCTGCTGCGGAGGGTTAATTGGATTTGAATTACTTGTTTTTTTTTAAAGTGCAATTTTGGCTGTTTTGTGTTTGCTATTTGAATTTGTAATGAAAAACCTATAAAAAGAGGCAAATCCAGGGCTTCAACCCCAGTGCTAACCATTGTTTATTCTAACAAACTTTGTGATTTTTCTTACACCTGATCCTTGTAGTAACAGGAAAATAGTTTCAGCTTTTTTGGAGAAACCTTTGGGCTACCTTCAGTTTTCGCTTCCGGTCTGTAGAAGACAGGTTTGGATAAAACAGTTTTTTGAAATAATCCTCCTAAATTTCTTGCTAAAGGCGAGTTCTGTGTGTGCACCTTAAAGCTCTATCTCTCCAGTTTGTTTTCCTGAAAAGAGATCACTCGGGACAAACTCTTTAAATAACACTTCATAACTATATGTATTAAATAACCATGAGGCTTGACAACAGATTCTGATAGAAATTGTAATCTTACTCAGATCAGACAAGTTGCTTAGACGGTACAGAAGGCAGCTGTTTACCAACTGGGCTCACTTCTCATGAAGTGGCCACAATTAACAGTTAAAGAAGCATTTTATACAACATCCATGGCTCCAGCCTTATAAAAATATTACACTTTGTTCTTTGCTGAAGGACACCACTCTCATTCCATTCCCAAATATTTGCCCCTCACAGAATAAAGATGATAACCATATAACGCCGGACGGAGGGACTGTCCTAATTAGATAATCTACTGGGGAAAACATCAGTTCTGACACAAAACAGGCAGTAATATTAAGGTGTAATAAAGTGACACATTATCAATGATAATTATCCTAACATTGTCTTATTTTCCTCATCTACATAACAGTGGAAATAAAATTCACATGCAAGGCCCTCAATTACAATGATTTTTGTGTTTACTGGCAGCTGCGTCACTTGGGCAACGATGAGGTGCACATCGTGTGGTCCGAGCACACCAGGGACTACCGCCGTGGCATCATCCCAACTGACTTTGGAGATGTGCTCATTATCATCTACCCGATGAAGAATCACATGTATTTCATACAGATCATGAAGAAGCCTCAGGTAGATATTTATGTACAGCATTTTCTACCTTTTTCTTACATAAACCTAGCTGTCGCACACCAGCTCCTGACGGCTGGTGTCTTGTAACTTTTACGTGTTTAATGGTTCAAAACCTCCAGAGTCCTGCTTATGATCTAAGCCTTTGATTCAGTGTGTTGGATACAGCAACACTTCTACAGGTGGAAGAACACTGGCCCTCTAGGAGGGCAGTGTGACACCAGAGGTAAGAAAAATATTTCAGGGATGGCAAGATCTTCTGCATTAAACTGTTCAGTTAAAACTAAACCATAATCTAGTCATTGAGTGAAGTAGTTGCATCTTAAAAAAAACAATAGTTTTTAAGAAAAAAAGGATTTTTTTATTACTTCAAGCAATCCTTTTAAAATGAAACAGAAATACTTAGTAAAAGGTATAGTGGAGGATTTTCATGAATTTTTGAAAAGACCCACCATCTCCACTTTAAAAAAGAAATGCACTGTTGCAACTCTGTACCCGCTACCAATAGGGAACGCCTATTAAACACTTGCAAGAGCATGCACAAGCCCATTTCTCCTTGTGCACGCTCTATTTAAAAGTTGCTGTTTGCATCGCCCACACAATGCATTTTTTAGCCCCATTTACACTACCCTTATGAAACCATGCAGAGAACGGTCCGAGCACGGTAACCAAGATAACTGTTGAGTGTAAACGGAAGGCTCGGCACAGTTCATCTAGGGTTCGGTTCTATGATATCAAAAAGCATCTCAGCAGATAGCTTATTGAGAATAAAGATCGTGGTGAGACCTGGGATGATGCCGAAAGCGAGAAGGAGGCCTTCTTCACCTGGCATTGTGCAAACAACGAAATATCACTAATATAACAAACATAAGTTCCTGAATGTTATGGGCGCTGCCATTTTTGTTTGCGTAATTCCTGCATTGAGAGCTGTGGTATCATGGACCACCCATAGGGGGCGAGGAACAGTGTTGGGGTGATGTGTAAATGGTCATAAGAACCAAGCTCGGCAAGGTTAACTGATCCAAGCTCGGTCCGAACTCGGCACGGATCGGTTTCAGAGAGCTAGTGTAAATGGAGCATTAGGGTTGTATCAACAAAAGGAAGGGCAACAGCAGGAGTGAAATGATAGTAAGAGAACGGCTTTGGTTTAACAAACTTTATTTTTAAAGTTTCTTCCTACTAGAATAAAAGCAATCAAACTAATTCTATTATGTATTAATTGCAAGATTTATAATTTCTGTAGGATATAAATCTTTTTTTATCATAAAGGTTTTTTTCCCCTATGAAATAAATTTGACTAAAACATGATAAGCACTTAAAGTTAAGGGATTCACAAAGATCAAGACTTGTTCTATTTAACTGACTTTAGACAGCATAGTGCTGATTTAATTTATTGACCCTGTTTGTGTGGTAATGCAGTCATATCTCCGCATTTCCTGTTTCATTTTCCTGTAAAATTTGAAAAGATGTTTCTGCTTTCTGTTTTCTGTCTGAAGGCTTTCAGTGCTCCTCTACTCCAGCAGTGCATTATTACCCACACTGTGGGTATGTGCTCTCAGAGGTGGTTACTGCCCTTTGTTGGTTAGCTTTCATCTTGGTTACTTTGCAGTGCTGCGCTCGATGTGTGGCCTCAAAGAGGGCAGTGAAATGTCTAAACTCTTGAAGCCAGTGATGACAAATTTTGGATGCCACTCCTGTGGCATCAAATTAAAAAAGAAGGAATAAAAAACATATTTGCAGTATTTTGTTTTACTAATATTAGAAATTTGTTATTGTAAGAAATCTTCTATGTTTTTGCTTTTAAGTAATATCCCCATAAAAACGTATTGTTTAATTTGACTGGATTCTTAAACTGTCGGAACTGCCAAGTTGAACCTTTCGGGAACCCTTTGACATCCACGTCAACTTCCAGGTCAATGACTATTGAGCTCTGGTGATTAAGGGCCCCTTCCAATATGCATGAACAGACGCGTGTACCCACACAAACACACGCACACACTCACTCAGGCTGTTGCAAAAATTCATATTGGTCCTTTTGTATTTGTTCAGCAGCTCAATATGAGGGCATTGTATAGCATTGATTGTCATTTTAATTTCATTTACCCATAACATTGATTCACATTAGATATGTGTAGTTGTCATGCAAAGTTAGGAAAAATTCAATTTCAACTTGAACCCTTGCCCTAAGCAGATGGAGCAACCGTTTGGAAGAAATAGGATTTTTAATCCAAGCTATTTAGTTATTTGAGTGCTGTGAAAAACTATGCTACTCCATACAGATTTCTTTATTATTTTTTGCCAACCTTCAAACTAATTAAATCTGTAAAGGACTAAAAGATATAGACCCCTCTGGCCCCATTTAAATAATGGATCTCCCACCTGGTTATATATTATTAACGAAGTTTAACTATTTTTTTCTTAGCTGGGTTGAATGTGTCTAACCACACCCATGCATCTATACTACCAGACAAATAGAGTCAGGAATTAATTAAACTTTAACCCAATGGCATACAGGAGATATTTGCCCCATTTACAATACCCTGTGAAACTGATCCATGCCAAGTTCGGACCAAGCTTGGATCAGTTAACCGAGCCAAGCTTGGTTCTTACGACCATTTGCACATCACCCTAGCACGGTTCCTCGCCTCCTATCGTTCGTCCACGATACTGCAGCTCTCAATGTGGGGATTACACAACCAAAACGGAGGCGCCCATAACATTCATGAACTTATGGGACTGGATAGCGTCCTCCACCCAAACTTTTATGAGAGGCTCTGTTTTAGCAGCTTGCCAGGTCGCACCACGCTCTTTTGATGCCATTTAATGTTAAAAGGCTGAAATTAGTCAGCTGTTGTAAATAGGAGATGGGCTCTTTGTTATCAGAGAACTGAGCCTCAGATTAACCGTTCCAAGCCCTACTGTTGAACTAGTACTAGATTTAGCGCGGTTTGGTTGGGTCTGTCACGGTCCAGTCGGTTAACGTGCTCAGACAGTTTTCAGCACGGTTTCAAAAGGCTAGCCTAAGTGGGGCTATTTTTTGTTCTTCCGAGTATTCAAAGCCTGAAAGTCTAGAACACAGAAAATGTAAAAAATGTCTTGCAGGGGCCTAGTCAAAGTCCAAACCTAAATCAGACTGACAAAAGCCCCATTTACACTACCCTCTGAAAACCAATCCATACCGAATTTGGATCAGTTAACAGTGCCAAGCATGGTTCCTTACAACCATTTACACACCACTCTAGTACGGTTCCTCGCCTCCTCCTGGCGATCTACGGTACTGATGCTCTCTACAGGTAAACAAGCAAATCAACATGGCGGCGTCCGTAACATTCAGTAAGTTAGCGGACAGTAGGGCAAAGAAGGCAGCCTTTGGTAAATTTACTTGACAGAGTAGGCTTTATGAAAGTGGAAGTGATAGTCTAATCAGGGCTTACAGACACAGAAAGCAACGACAGGAGTACTGGTTCATCACACTACTAAGCAGAATCAGCACTGGAAATCGTGTGGCATGGTAGGGAAGTTAGTACTTTTATGAATGTCTGAAATGTCATGATTATGGAGACTGACTGTGTGGAGATGAGGCGCCCTGCTCATGCGCTCTTTATCTGAGAACTCAGCCACGCCGAGCCCTACTGATGAACTAGTTTGGTTGTGTCTTGCACGGTCCAGTTCAGTTTTGCCTGCATTTTACTCTCAAGCTATCTTTCTTTCAAAAGGATAGTGGAAAAAGGGCTATAGACTGACATGAATTTAAGAATGGGATTAGGCTAGAAACATATCATGAACATATCATATAATGAATTAACATAGTTCTACAGAGAAGAGTGGGACAAAACATGGTGGGACATGGTCTTAACACTATTTGCAAGTTAGCAAAGGGGAAATGACTTCCCACTGGGTAAGAAAAAGGTGTTCTTACATTTGTAAATTTTTTTGTCCTAAATAAACAAGATTAGAGTAAAACAAAAAATGCTCCTTGTATTTTTATTTTCTCTCTGATCTACAAAATAAGTCCCTCTGAAACGTGTACATTTGACCAAAAGAACAATAACAAAAATATGTTGTGCAAACTGGCCACACTGTACAAAATTTTATATTCAAATAAATGTTGATTTCTGGTTTATATTTTTCATTTTCAAACCCTTGCGACTTTCTCTTCCCGTTTGAACTTGTTTAGGTTCCTTTCTTCGGACCTCTGTTTAATGGCGCCATTGTCACTGGGGCGCTATTGCCAAGTCTGGTACGAGCCACATGTATCAACGCCAGCAGAGCTGTCAAGTCCCGGCTGACTCTCTACCAGAGCTTGTATCCTTTACATCCATTTGCCTTTCTCACCATCCGTTCAAAGAACAGCTCATCATTGGAATGCAGTAACAGAAATAAAAGGCCAGCAGCTGAGGTAAAACTTTCCTTGGCTTCTGGTAAGGAGACCACCAACCTGCCTGGGTGAGTTCATTCAGATGTGGCGTGCATGTCATGGTAGTGGGTGTACACAGCTGAGTGCTGACAGTGATCTTTATGAGCTGCCTTATTTACATATAACTGTTAGGCGGGGCTGGTTCGCAGCCTGGAGCAAAAAAAAAAAGCAGGTTTGTTGGGCTGTTTTTTGGGTTTGGGCACAGATAATGTTTCATCATCAATTGCTAGCATGTTATGGCCGAGTAAAAAAAAAAAAAAAAAGAAAGTGTGGGCGAAAAACAGAAGAAACAGAAGCGCCATGAGCAAAAACATGTAAATGCATTTGGGCGCGCACACGCCTGCATCCCTCCGCCCATCCAACAGTGTGCCGTTAAGAGCCGAGCCTGACTCCAGCTGTAGTTGTCAGTTGGTTTAAAGAGAGTGTAATTACCAGTGGAGATCAATTAGCATGTGAATGCCAGCAGCATGGAGTTGCGGGGGGTGAGCTGGGGGAACGAACCGGGATGGCCCCTTGAGGGAGAAACCTGATCTCCTCTTACGCCCAGACTGCTTTTACATCATCTTCTCCCTGAAACTCCTCAGCCCCCCTGGTGGTTACTATAGAAACCTCAGTTTGGGAGGTAGTCTCGTATTCCTGTTTATCTAAAAACGTGTTTTTAAAAGTTTATTTTTTTCATACTCACTCAGTAGACACTGTTGGACCCAAATCAAGCTGCAACTCACACGCTGTGGTCTGTGTGTAAGTATGCATCCGTCTGTGTGTGCTTCACAATGCATCGCATCGCCTGGCTACCCCCAACCCAGTATCAGGCTGTGTCTGCATGTCCCCTGTGGCATCCTGAGTGACAGATGTCTGTTACCCAACGCCAAGTGAATTAGCTCAGTGTGACTGTCTGTGCCAGAGCTGTGGGGGGAGCAGAGGTGGTGGGGCCTCTGCCTTCCTGTGTGAGCCTTAGTGAGGTGCTGGCGGGGGGTTTGGTGCAGAGAGGGTGGAGAGTAACAGGCTTGTGTTGAGCTGCACGGCTTCACCTGGCATTCCTTAGCAGGGAAGCAATGAGCAGAAAGGCACGATCTATGGCAGGAGATAAGCGCTGCCTCTGGAGGTCTGGCACTGATAGGCAGCCAGGCCTCACACACTTCAACAGAGAGATGAACAAGTGCGGCACGTAAAGCAGTGTGCCAATATCAGTCTTTGTAGTTCTGATGTTTGGATGTTGAATAAGAAAGCAATAAGAGACGGTGAATAATCAAAACCTTCAATGTTGTGTTAGTTACCTTTAACACAACCAGTCTTTTTCAAACGTCCCTATTGCATTGTTTTGTTTGCTTCTTCAGATATGCAGCTCTTTATCTTTAACAGGTCAGAGCAACAACAACCAGTGTGCTTTTTTTTTCAAGGATGTGTGTGTTTCCTTTTTCTGTGCAAGAAGAAAATCCTCATCCTTAGTTTACCCCTCCACAATACCTTAACAATCCACAGCCTGCTCTCTGCCTGTGAGGCCACTCTCCAAGGTAATTAGAGAATATTTCTTCAAAGAGGAGCTATATGACCCCTGTGTGTCCAGATAAAAGGCCAGTGTGGCTTTGCAGCCCCCTCTCTCGCTCCGTCACAAGGCTCAAGAGGACTCCAGCAGTCTGCTGCAACGCTCCCAGAATCTCTCAAGCTAATAGGATTTGATATTAAAAAATGTCCACCAGCAACATTGCAGGAAAATTCACACAGATGGGTAACAGTGTTTTTCAGTAGGATACTGCCTCGTAATATCTTTCCCTATTATGTCCTGTTTTCATCCATCTCCTTTTTTTCCCCTCTCCTGCTGATTTGTTAAATCGGAGCTGTTCGATGCATTTATTTATTTTTTTTCCCGGCTTTTAGTTGCACTTTGCTACACAATTTGTCCCAGTTTCCCCTGTCAGGACAACATAGGTCTAAAATTAATAAGAACCTCATCACAAGGTTTTTAAAAACAACCCATCATAGATCATTTATTATTGATATATGGCTGAAAGAAAAAAACAGTCTGGCTTTGAGGTAATAACATCTTGTTTTTAATTTGCCCATCTTTCACAGTGGCTTTTTCAAGACCAGTTAGCCCTAGTTTTTCTGCACTGGTGTCTTTATGGTCAAAAGTCTTTAAAAGGTATAACATATACATGTAGTGTTTGTAAGTGCTGAATTAACTTAGAAATTAGAAAGTAAAATCATTATATTTCCTCACTTTATTCCTTACTTACACTCTCCTTAAATATAAATATTTTGACCTGTTTCATGAATTACTTAAAGGTGCATTTTATTTTTAAAAGTGTACTAAACTAACAGATGCAGTATGAATTAGATTATTATTTTTTAAATTAAGTCCTTATTTGGCATAAACATTGTTTATATGTGATTATAGTGGCATTTGAAATGCTTGAATTAAAAAATAAAAATGTTTATACAAACAAATTGGTCAGATATATCGGATATAAATGATTCCACGTGTTTGTGCGGAATTGCTTGCAGTTGATTGTAAAGCCGTATGTTTGGAAAAGAAGCTCGACTCATGGGTACTTCTTGATGGCATTAAAATAATTTCTAAGAGCATTAAAAGAGCATTAAATTAGAGTTACTCATTCCTGTATAAACCCTATATTAAGCATTTTTTGTTGCTTTTTTTGTGTAACACCCTCAAGCAGTGTGCTTGAAAAACTGGTGCTACTTTTGCTGCTACTTTATTTGAAAATATAGACAATCATCACTAATTTATGTTGAAATTATATTTTTTCTCTTAAATTTATGGCAAAACCAATAAATAGTAACCTTTAAAGTTCATAATTGGCATATCTATGGATCCGTTTCATGGATTTTACTATGGTTCTGGAATAGCTCATAACAATATAGAACCATCAATTTTTGGGCGCAATTTTGTTCAGAAATGTCTGCTTATTGAGAAGTGAGTCAATGTATTGTATCTTATATGCACTCAATACATTGTCAGGACCGTGTCTGCATTAATTACTGCATTAATGCAATGTGGCATAGAGGCGATTAGATAAGAATTGAAGAAAGGGCTGGTTTCCTAAGTGGTGGCTTTAGGTTTCTTTTTTCTGCATCACAATATTCCACAGATTGTCCATGAGGTGTAGGTCAGGATAGTTTTCCAGCCAATCAGATGCCAGCACAGTGATAAAATGTCATTAAAGCAGAATTTTTATCGGTGTCTGCTTGAGAAAAGTTCTGCTGGAAAATGTATTCGACTTCTATCTCAGCAGAGTAAACAGTTTGTAAAGTACCTGTCATTACCCGATCCGTCCTGGAAGCGCGATCCGTCCTGTGCATGTGGGAATAGAATAACTCCCATGTAGGCAATACTTTTTTTTTTTCATACTTTTTTATTCTTTTGTCGTTTTTCAGGTGTGAGGTTACTTTGAATATTTGTGTAAATACTGCATATTCTAAACACAATACATAAAAAAAAAACAAATGGCATTTCGAACGTTGCAGTGACTGCTCTGAGGATGTCCAATGATGACGTCATGCAATAAAATGGAGAGAATGTAAAATGTAACAATTTCTTTCAGAAAAGTCTTCATTTTTTTCAATGCAATGTAGTTCAGCATTCTTTGATGTTTTAAGTATATAAATAAATATTTTCAGCACTGCTATTGCATAGTTTTCGGCGACCCAGATCTAATTATTCTGTGCACGCATGCGCTGGCCTGATCATGCTTCTGGGACGGATCAGGTAGTGACAGTACCTTTAGATACATGTGTTAAGCGCCATATAGATTAACTGAATTTAACTTTTAAACTAAAACTGGTTGACAGCTAGACTGACTTTGTACTTGATACACTTGGCATAGCTCTACAGATAATCTCTGACTATAGAAACTTCATCCTGAACCTCTGACCAGTCTTTATCTCGGATCCCTTGGAGCCAATATTCCAGCATCAGTCAACACTCTTTTTTTCTATTATAACTTTGCATAGCTGCTGGTGTTACAGTTGTTAGTGCACATTTATCTAATGCAGTTTTTCCTTCCTGACAACTTTCCATAAATATCCTCATAAACAGAGCTGCGTTCACATCCAGCTTCTCTTTCACAGCCAGCCTTCCTCAGTCAGCTGTTTCTCACATAATTATTTAGGCCATAAGTTCTGTTTCCACATGAATTTTCTGCAAAGCTGAATTATTAAGTTTTTAAATGCTTGGGGTCCAATATAGAATGAACAGAAACAAATATTTTTATCAGCTCTATTGAATTTTTGAAATTCCTTTTTTTTTTTCTATGCATACATTTAAAGTTTAAAAGTAAACTTTGAAAGCTGTTCCCAAAATCTGGAGAATCTCCATAGTTTAGATTTAAAATTATATTTTAATTCTGATCAGTTCCTTTTCATTCAGCCAGAGCATACACCATAGTTGGAGTAAAGAGCTGATAAGTTTGTTTCACCAGAAAGCAGCCGGTCACCGGATGGTCTCGCTGTCCAGTTCCATTTACTGGTGATGAAGGTCGTTCCTGCTGTCACCATAGAGGAGTCTCCTCACCCAGAAGTCGCAAATCATTTCTCTCTTCAAAAAGCAATTGAGTTTGATGATCCATCTCTCACTTCATGATTGGGCCTTTGTTAAAGGTAGAAATGGATTGTGTGTTTGTGTGTTGAGATGGCAGGTTACTAATAGGTGAGACAATGCAAAACTGACCTTGATTCGGAGACATATCCTCCCTGCTGAACAGAATCGATAGCTTTTGCACACTGCTCTCAGTTCCCATCCTCTGCTCTGACACACAAGGAAAAAACACACACACACAAAGATCCATCTCCAGGCAGCGATCAATAACCATAATCTGTTTCTGCCCATCGCCAGTCATGCGAGCCAGGCTTTTAGGTGGCGTGTATGTGT